AGTAAATTTTTGTTGTTTTGTGTTTTGTAAAGATAGTTTTTGGAATTTTTGAAAGAATAATCAAATTTTATATTGTGCAGCCTGCAAGTGACAAGTTATACGATGGATTATATTTTTTGTTAAAAATAGCGTTATTTTTTCACTTGTAAAGAAAGTTTTTGCAATTTCTGCTCAATTTAGTCAAAAAATACTTTTTACTTTACAATAACTCTTTATCTACTGTCTACTCATTACGTAACACCAACAACAGTACTATAAATCAACCGTTATGTAGCTGATCTGATGGTTAATATGATTTATGTTTGATCAAAAAATTGAATTTCACATCCTCGATAAACTCGTTTAAACTCGAATTTGTGATATGATATCCGATAAAAATGTTAACGTTTTTACAAGTTTGCGGTCACTTTTAATGTTCATACGATTCTTATGTTAAGTTCTTTTTGTGTTAACATGTGGAAAGAAAGTTTTTGCAATTTTTGATGATTTTTTGTTTATTTATGTTTGTAAAGATGTATTTTGTAAAGTTTTTGCAATTTTTTGTGTTTTAAAAGTATTTTTGTCATTCTGCTTTGTGTTTCGCAGCCTACGGATGACAAGTTATACGATGGATTTCATTTTCAAAATTGTAAAGACAGTTCTTGTAATTTTTGGTCTATTTTTGTTGTTTTGTATTTTGTTAAGCAAGTTTTTGCATTTTTTTAGTATACTTTGTTTATTACTTGTTTTGTAAAGAAAGTTCTTGCCATTTTTGAAAGAAAAACTAAATATTTTATTGTGCAGCCTGCGGGTGACAACTTATACGATGAATGTCCTATTAACATTGTTATCTAATTCATTGCGTTTTATTTTCCAATTTTTATTCCGACAACCGTATTTTACCATTTTTAAGATAAGTTTTTAAATTTTTTATTTTTTCAGACTTTGTAAACAAAGTTTATTCATTCCTCTCTTTGCCATTACTTCATCAACACCCGCTCCCTTGGGCGTTAAATTAGCCATAACTGGACGTGGGGCGGATGTTAGTCGCAAAAAAAAACAATTGACGGGTTGCATAAGGATGAGAAGCGACGTTAATCGCAAAAACAAGAACAGTTAATTGTATTCTGAACCTTGTTTATGGGACGATTAGAGCAATCGGTTTCTGTGCGAGCAAATTAAAATGGGGGAGGATATGGGATGGGAAGAAAAATCATTTTTTTTATATTATGAAGTTTTTTTTTATTTTTTTTGGAAAATAAAAAATTTTTTATTTTTGTGCTACTGATTAAAAAATTTTAAGATTTTTGCAGGTTGCGGGCGACATGTTATACGTAAAATTAATTTTTGAAGTTTTTTTTGTTTTTTTTTAATTTGAAGAAAGAAATTACAATTTTTCTATAATTCTTATGGCTACATTCAGGCTTGGACACAGGGTAGTGTATTTACTATTTGCTATGTCCGGACCGGCAGGGTCAGGCGCAAGGGGCTAATAACTTTACGGATTCGTGGCTTTCACCCACGCGGCCCGGGTTCGATTCCCAGCATGGGAAGGAAACTTGTTTTTTGATTTATGCTATTATAAGCTCGTTTTTAAGGTTTTTTTGATTTTGTAGGTACTGAATGACAATCCTTTTTATGCTTTTGAATATTTTTTAAAAATTTACCTCAATTATTACTCATTGACACTATTGACGTCAAAAAGAATGCAAAAAATACTGTAACTCTTGGTGAAAGTCGTTAAAACACGCGTTAATGAGTAGTAATTCTGAGTCATTTCGTATGTCTATTGTTTTATGTAATCATATAAGCGGGGGAGAGGGTGATTCCCTCAGGGTTTATGGGTATTTGCAAGTTCATCGTGTTTGAACTGTGACATAGGCGGCTGCAGTCAAGTATGGTAGTGTATGGTAGGGTAGGGTAGGATAAGGTATAGTAGGGTAGGGTAATTTACAAAATAAATTTTTTTGCAGCCTGCGGGTGACAAGTTATACGATCAATAGAACCAATAGCTTTTGTAAAGAAAGTTTTTGCTAATTTGTTCTGTAAACGAAGTTCTTGCACAAAGAAACTTCAAAATGACGTTTTTAAAACTTCTTTTAATCAGCGATTTTGTAAATTTATTTTTTGCTTCGTTCCGGTCCAGATATTGCTCTTGATGGCTTTTTGATTTCGAGCTTATTCCCACGCATTTCGAATACAAATAATCTTTCAAAAAAGTTGTTTTTGGCGAGACTTCTGTCTGCAAAATATAATTTTTATTTTTTTTTGGGTTTTGGAACGAACGTTCTTGCCATTTGCTAAGTAATACTAGCAACTTTGTGTTTTGCAGACTGCGGGAGACATTTTATACGATAGGTATAATTTTTTTTTAAGAAAGTTTTTGCCATTTTTATGCCTTGTAAAGAAAGGTCTTGCTTTTTTTTGTTTTGTAAAGAAAGTTCTTGCCATCATGAAGTTTGTAAAGAAATTTCTTGCTATTTTTTGTTTTGTAAAGAAAGTTTTTTTCAATTTTTACATTAATTAAATCTTTAATGCTAAGAAACGTTTATAATAGTAAAACTCATTCAAGTGTAAGATGATTGATAAATGAGAAATAGCGAAACATTTCTGACCGTCAATTGACACCATTTTTTGCTGTTAAATCTCACACAATCAATGTAATTGCAAAATAACTTTTTTACTACTCTTTATAGTTTTAGGCAGTTTCTTTATTGTGCACTGATACAGTACCTACCCTACCCTCTATACCTTTAGGTGCATTTGACCTTACTTTGCTCTACCCTACCCTAAATTATATTGTCTTCTCTTACCTTGCCTCATCTTACCTTACCTTACTTTACTCTAACTTACCTAATCCTACTTTACCTTACCTTCCTTCTCCTACCGTACTCTATTCTACCATAACCTACCTTACCCTACCACTTGCTCTACCTCGCTCTATCTGACCCTGCTTTACTTTAACTTACCTTACTATACTTTTTTTCTATCTTACCTTAATTCACTCAATCCTACTCACTCGGTAGTTTATTTTAATTTCCTTGTATACATTTCTTGTTAAAATTGTTTTTTAATTACTCAATACCACCAAATAAAGTGATGTCTTCTTCAAGTTGTCAAAGTAATTTTATCATCCGAAATCAGGGATCCACACCAATTCTCAGCGATTTTTTGCTTAAAAAAGTTTTTTTTTATTTTTTCGCACTCTCGAAGATCCACTCTTTAATTGTTTTAAATTCGGATATCGGGCGAAGGAATTTGACAGGATACTTATGATAGCGCCATTACACGCGGTGTTACTTTGTTAGGGGTGTTATATATTATATAACTTTATTAGTGAGTGATGGTTGTCATATTAATAGTTTCTTTGGAGATGTTGATTGTCATATTACTTTACTCACAATTGTCAGGAATTGTGATTGTTATATTACTTTGTCAAGGGGTTGTGATTGTCATATTGATTTACTAGAGGGTGACAATTGTCATTTTACTTTATCGAAGGGTGGTTTCTTGTTATGTAAATTTATTAGGAAGTGGTGATTGTCGTATTAATTTATTAAGGAAGGTGGGGGAAGAGTGTGGGGATTGTCATGTTACTCTGTTAGGGGATGGTGATTTCAAATAAACATTTCCAGAGGTGGTAATTGTTATATATTATAGCACATTATTGTATCAAATTAGAATGAGTCAAATGTTTAACTGTATTTTACTGACTGATGACACAGCAAAGTACAAATCTTCATAGACCAAGTTGATTATAGACTTATGAAAAAATTTTTTGTAAGCAGTCTATCGAGCTTATTAAAATGTTATTTTGACCTTATATTTTTATTATAGTCTTTAGTTTAGTGAGATTTACGGTAGTCACATCAATTATATAATAGTCAAGACGTTGTTATTATGTTATTTTGTTACTACAGTAGAGTTCCTGCGTTATTGTAAAATACAAGCAGCTTAGATCGCCGGGCGAAAAAGTGGGCCCGGCCCGTTTTTCACTCTTAATACAAAGTTTATCTTTCAATTTGCTCGATTATCATCAAACCTCTTTGCAGTAATTATTGTAATGTTTTCAAGTTAATATAACGGTAAATAAGATGTACTTGGTTATTTTCCACTTCTTGTCATTTTATGATGTTATTCATGATCATTTATTTTGAAATTCTTCAAAATAAGACTATTTTTGGTGGTGTTTCATTAGTTTTTGACTGATTTGGTTTTTTAACTTTGTTTTGATAATATATACTTCAGTAAATTAGGTCTTAACGCGTCCTTATCAGAATTTATTTTTTTAGTTTTTAATATTTTAAAAAATTTTTTTTAAATTTTTATAAAAAATTTTTGTATCGGACCCTACCTTACCTTACCCTACGCACAGGGCAGTTCTAAGTTATTCCACAAACTTTTAGGCCCAAAAAACCTACAAATTTAAATGTATTTATGTACTTTCTAAAGTCTCAAGAGGATAATCACTTTTAAATTACCAAAAAATGTTTATTATCGGCTTTGGTTACATTTTAATACGGCTCGAGGCAATATTAATAGAATATTCCCCAAACTTTTGCTCATTAGCCAAATTACACTTCTAGTCAGAGGCTTGGTGAGGTCGCGAATGCAAACATTTTTGGGCCATTTTTGAATGGCCTAGCTTTTGCAAACGTAGGAGATTTAAAATTAAAAGGATTTTGAAGTTGTAAAGAAAGTTCTTGCTATTTTGGAGCTGCCGAAGAAAGTTCTTGCGAGTTTTTATTTCGTAAAGAAAGTTCTTGTTATTTTAAAGTTTTTTATGAAATTTCTTGTCATTGTCCGCTTTGTAAAGAAAGTTCTCGCCACTTTTTAGTTTGTAAAGAAACTTTTCTATTTCGTGTTTTGCAGCTTGTGAGTGAAAAGTTATACGAGCGATTGACTCATTTGTATGATATTTCCCTATTTTTTACTTTTGCAAAGAAAGAAAGTACAATTGCGTGTTTCGTATTTTACCATTGCCAAAAATTTTTTATAGGTAATATAATTTTAGCGTAGAGATGCGTCTTCTACTGCTGATAGGCCTAGTAATCGGAGGCTTTGTTAATGCTCAAGACAACCAGTTCAACAATGATCCTTCCATTCCTAGTTTGGATCAGTAAGTTTGAAATTTTAATTTTTTTTTCAATTTTTTAAAATTAAAATTTTTAAATTTCAAAATATTTTAATTAAAATTTCTGTATTTTAGAACCGTTAGCCAAGAACAAGACCTCCCCCCATCGCCAGAATCCACCCAAGCCCAGTTTGAACCGGACGGATCTCCAGTTGTAGCTCCAGCCGATCCTTCCGCTTCTCCTGACCTACCGTCAATGCCTTCTGAAGTCGTCGAACATCTTTCTGACTCTCAGCCTGAAGAAAATGTTAGTGAGGTTAAGCAAGAGCCAGTTGGAGAGCTACCGGTCGATATTATTAAGCAACATGATGACGATGAGGCTGAGAAGAAGGCTATGGATGCTGAAGCTGAAGCCAAGCCTATGGAATCAGAAGCTGAAGCTAAGTCAACGGATTCAGAATCCGAAAAAAAGGCTTCAAACGAAGATCCCTTCTTGAAAAGCATGGAAGCTTCGTCCACTGTATCCATTCCAGTAGTAGACGAAAGCCAAGCTACAGAAAAGCCAGAAGAAACTTCTGAAGCCGAAAAAGTCACCGAATCTCCAGAATCCGAAGATAAAATAAAATCTGAAGCTACTGAAGCTTCTGATGACAAAATGGCTTCTGAATCCACTACAAAAACCGCTTCCGAACCTGACGGTGAAGAAAAAACTGAAATGAAGGATTCTGAAACTCAAAAAGAAGATACTGAAGCTAAAGATGCCACTGAAGCTCCACAAAAAGATTCTGAATCTCCCAAGCCTGAATCTGAATCTCCTAAGCCAGATGTTGACGTTGAACCGAAACAAGATTCAGAAGCTGAGACGTCTGCTGCCACTGAAGCCCCAAAAGAATCCTCAGACTCCGTTCCAGAACAAATGCAAGCTTCTGAAGCCACCGAAAAGCCAGAAGACTTGACACCAGAAATTGAGTCTACTACAACATTCGTGGTCCCAGTCGTGTCTGAAGAGCATATGGAAGAGCAAACAGAAAAGGCGGCCACTTCAGACAAGCCAGCTGATCAGGCTGACATTGTCGAGTCCAGCTCACCAGCCCAAGACCAATCAGAGCTCCAAAGCCAGCCAGAATCCCAAAGCCAACCAGAATCCGAAAACCGTGATGATTCTTCTACTCCTTCGTCTAGCCAAATCTCGGCCGAGCCTGACGCTGCAGCTTCTGAGAAGGCGCCTGAAGCCACGCCAGAACCAACAGTCCAAAGCACCACCGACGAGGAGAGTGTGATCGCCGGCGACAAGACTGTGTTCATGCCAGAGAACATGGCCGACCAGTTGGAACCAACCCCGGAACCGGTCCCCGAAGAGAAACAGAACCCAGCCGCAGCTGAGTTGGAAAAGGAAGAAAAAGAAGATGAGAATAAGGCTGAACCAACCGCTGAGCCAGCTCCAGAGCCCACAGCAGAGCCAGCAGCTGAACCCACTGCTGAACCAACAGCTGAGCCAGAACCAAAAGCTGAACCGACCGCGGAACCAACGCCCGAGCCAACAGCTGAATCTACCCCAGAACCTGAACCAAAGGCCGAACCTAGCCCAGAACTCATCGTTGAATCAGAATCGGAACCAAAGGCCGAGCCAAGCCCTGAACCAACTGCTGAACTCACTCCCGAACCAACTCCCGAACCTACGCCAGAATCGACAGCTGAATCAACTCCCGAGCCAGAACCTAAAGCTGATCCCAGCCCAGAGCCAGCTGCTGAACCCACACCTGAACCAACTGCTGAGCCAACACCAGAACCAGAACCAGCTGCCGAGCCAACGCCAGAGCCAGAACCTAAAGCTGAGCCTAGCTCAGAACCCGAGCCCGAACCCAAAGCCGAGCCCAGCCCTGAGCCAGAACCTGAACCATCAGCTGAGCCAACACTAGAGCCCGAGCCAGAACCTAAGGCCGAGCCTAGCCCAGAGCCAGAGCCAAAAGCTGAGCCCAGCCCAGAGCCAGAGCCAGCTGCCGAGCCAACACCAGAACCAGAGCCAACTCACGTTCACAACCATGCCCATCACGACGAACCAAGCGGTAATGAAGTCAAGACTCCCTTCAGTCTACGCTTCACCAATATTGATTTCTCGCCAGAGTTCAATGACAAGTCTTCTGGACTGTTCAAGAAGCTACACGATCAGATCAACGATGACGTAAGTTGACATAGACCTGGTTTACCTCAACTTACCCTACCCTACCCTACTCTAATAATTTACTTTACCTCGTCTTACCGTAACTTGCACTGTCCTGTCTTACCGTAACCCACATTGCGCTACCTTACCGCAGCCCACACTGCCTTATCTTACCGTTGCCATCCTACCTTACACTTAAGCTCAACTATAACAATATTTTTAGTTATCCAACGTATTCCTGGACACATTTGGCGACAACTTTGTCAGTTATGACATTAACTCGGTCCGCAAAGGCTCAGTAATCATTGATGGTAAAGTGGTCACCAAAGATCAACTAGGTGATCCGGCCATTATTGCTGCTAGATTGGAAGATACGATTGTACAAAGAAATGCCAAGATTGGTGGTAACGATGTTGACATCACAGCTGTGTCCATCGACGGAGTAATGAGTAAAGGTTCAGCTAGTGCTAAGGAGAGTGCATCTTCAGCCAATACCGGGTATCTGGTTGGAGGATCGATCGCTATTGGACTACTGATACTGGTGTTTGTCATCTTCGCTGTTGTCATCTTTGGAGTAGGTTTTTCTTGCAGTTTTACGATGGTATCACAGGTATAAAACAAAACTGAAAGTATAAAAAAAATGATTTTGAATAACAAATTGGACTCAAAACTTCATATTTTAGGTCAACAAGAGCCGTCGACGACAAACCCTGAAGCTGAAAGAAGAACTAAGCATGGCCGAAGGTGGTCGTAGTCCTTATAAATCAAATGGCAATGGAATGTAAGTTAATATTATACAAGACTAGGAAATATAAAGGTCTTTTGTTACCTAAACACCCCAAAAAAAACATTTTTTTACTTTCAGTACCACCAACAATGGCAACTCGCCAATGCTGTTGAGCAGTTCGCAGTTCTCATCGCCTCCGGCCGTTCAAAGTCCACAACGGATTTAAATGTTTTGAAATTTAATTTAAATACGTCGAAATGGTCTCTTTAGCACATTGACAAAAGGTTTTTAGCCGACAAAAAGAGAACCGGTTCCAACGGGTCTTTCATACTGTAGTTCTTATAGAGCGTATTGTCTTACTGTACTTTCATTGGTTACTGTAATTTTTATACTTATTTGTATATGGTCGTTCAAATAATTATGTTCCCCCTTTCAAAAGAAAGTTTTGGTGTTGGGGGCACAGAATTATTTGAATATCTTAATAGTAGTTTTTTGAGTATTTTTGTTACAGTAAGCTTTTTTTTAGATTTTTTATTGTAGCTTACGGTAACTTTTGATTTAAGGTCATTTTAATTATCATTTCTTAATGTAACGTTGTAAACTCTTATTTTGTGTATTATACCCATTTTTCTTACTGTAACTTCATAAAATCTAATTTTATCGTACTATAACCTTATTGTAACACTTTACTTCTACTGTAATATAAGTTCATTTATTAGGTCGTTCAAATAATTATGTGTCCCCTCTTCAAGCAAAGTTCGGAGCTAGGGACACAGAATTATTTGAACAACCTAATATATAAAACCTTCAAATCGTAGCCCTTGCCATGAGTTTTCCTATTTATATTACAATCCAGTGTAATATCCTATATATAAATGTGATCTTTTCTATTAATTTTCTAAATTTTTAGTTAATATTATGTTATATAACAATACTTTTTATGTTTTGTGATTGTTTTGAGCAATAAATCTTAATTATTGTTATGACGTTTGGCTTTTTTTAAACAAAAAATAACATAAAAATGAAAAAAAACCTAAAAAGTATGTTAAAGTAGGCTTTCATTATATGAAACACAAAATTGAAAGTAATCTGGTGTTGACTACAATATAATAAATAAAGCTCATACCAACAAATGTTATAATAACAAAAACTTATGCTTATCAGACGCTCAGTAACTAAAGTTTGTCCACACAAAACTGTTCGGTCCCGAAAGATGTAACCTTCATCGCGTCAAACCATATTTCTAATTCAAAGAAGGGTCATATATCGATTCCTTGCTTTTCGATTGGGTTAGCCAACTGGCCGCTCAAAAAAGAATCCCCTTTGAAACGAAAAGAGCGCGCTAAATATGAGAAAAAGAGGACAGAGAAGCGGAGAAAAAAAGAGAGAACAGTCGGGTTTTATTTGATTTTGGAGCCTGTTTTATTGATTGTGATAAAAAAAGTAAAAAAGTAGTAAAGTGTAAAATATAATAAGTAATCGTATTATTTATAGTTACTTACATTTTTATTTACATATCAAAAATTATAGATTTTTTAAAATTTTCAAAATATTATGTCTAATTTTTATAAAAACAATTTTTCAAGTAAAAACAGTTTTTTTATTTCTTTTTTACTGTTAAATATCCTTTAATGACGTTTTTATTTCAATTAAAACCTTGTATAACAAGCCTTTAAGCCATGTCCCATGTGGTCTAGTGGTTAGGATTCGTGGCTTTCACCCACGCGGCCCGGGTTCGATTCCCGGCATGGGAAGGACACTTTTTTGGTGTTTTTACTACACTGGCAAGTAAATTTTAAACAAAAATGATTATGGATGTTAAAGATCGTCCTATGCTTTTTGTTTTAAAGCAGTTTTTAACATTTTGAATAACTTTTTAAATAATTTTAAAAGCAACTTTCAAAAAAATGTAAAAAACGTGATGAAAATACCTTTATTTTGTTTTCAAAATACTAGTCAAATTCACTTTTATTTACAGTAATTAAACAATATAGAATAGAGTTGAAATCCACCTTGTTTGGGCTCTATTTCTCGCTGAACATTTCGTTGCTGGGTGGTTTTTGGGCTGGCACGTCAAAGAAGTCCTTTGGCTTTATCACTTTTCGGATCTCGGTCTTGTGCGCTTCGTAGTCAGCTTGTAGTCTCATCTGCAAAAGACATTATTGTGAGTGGGTCACTGTATTAGTTGTGAATGAGGTATTAAAAGCCCAGCCTATTCTCATTTTTTCTCAGACCAGTCTGGACCGGGCACAAAAATTTTAAATCCGGCCCGTTCCAACCTTACAGTTAGTTCAAGGCCGGCCAGTTTTTCATCCCTAGAGAGAGTAAGGTCATCAGTAAATGTTAGAAATAGGTAATACAAGCTTGATCTCCTTACCTCTTCCAATTGTTTTTTCCTGTAGATTACGCCGCTCACCACACTTCCAACCAGACAACAGAACAATATCCTAAAATATAGTATTAGGTTGTTCAAATAATTATGCGCCATCTAACCTTAAAAACTTGCTTTGAGAGGGGGCACAGAATTATTTAAACAACCTAATAATTCATCAAAGAATATGCCGTACTCCTTCAAAAAACAAAATTGTCAAAAATTACAGTAACCCGTGAGTGAGCCTGAATTAAAAACTTGTACTTACAACACCAGCACTCCTCCGACAAAGTAGAGCATCTGCGTGTGCATCTGTTTACCCTCATCGTTTGCGCTTTCCGCCACTGTTATCGCCATGATTAACAAACATCCCAATACTCGTGTCCAAAACATCCTTCCTCGTAATCAACCGCCGGGAAGCGACCACTGATCGCGAATGTTGGAGTAATAGAATAACCAAAAGTGGCTGGATTTGGACGCTTTTGGAAATTTCAGAAAATTTGCATAATTTTTAAAAATTTAATTATTAGGTTGTTTAAATAGTTCTGCGCCCCCTTTCAAATTATCGGTGTTAAGGGCTCAGAATTATATGAACAGCTTAGTAAGATACAGTACCAACAGCTCTATCGATCTATCTATATTATTAATCACCTTACATAAATTCAAAATTTGCAAACCGACCAAGTTTATTAAAAATATGTTATTTCTATAAGTTAATCCTTAAAAATAGTAATATTACACATTTTGAGACTAGTTTAATCAATTGAAATGAGTGCTTTACGAGTTGGAGAATACGAGCCATGATACGACAAAGTAGAACAGTACCACTGGATACATGGCCAGGATCTTTCGTCTTTCGGGCTGAGCCGAGGCCAGGAAGGCTGTCGAAGCTAAAAATACCACATAAGTAAAAAGTTCAGCCACCTTGTATTAAAAAATGCATTTTCTCTCAAAACTTTCATTAACTTTTAGCAAAATCAACAGGCTTAGGCTACTACAACACTTTTTGTACTAAGCAGAACTGAGTCTTAGCTACAACAAAATACAGTCATCGTCATTTTCAAATATACCTCAATTTTCAAAATTGAAACAAAAATTAAATTCATATTGCTATAAAAGCACCTTCCAACCTTACCATAAGTTGACCAAGCGAATCCGAAGCCAGAAGCAACCAATCGCAAGAACATACTCAGTTTCTTTGCACCTTCCATGTGCAACAAGTGACATGTAATCGATGCGAACACTGATGGTAACAAGCAGTAACCAATAACACACAAAGATTGAAAGAACGAGCTAAAAATTACGTTTTTATAACAATTTCAATTAAAAATTCAAGAAATTTACAAAAAGTGACATTTTCAATCGAAGAATGCTAAAAAATCCTAAAATAAATTTTTTACTGCAAAAATATACATTAAAATAATAAAAAACCAAGAAAAAATCCGTATTTTAACCCTTTCATAACGATTTTCAATTCAAAAACCTCCAAAAAGTTTCCTTCCCATGCCGGGAATCGAACCCGGGCCGCGTGGGTGAAAGCCACGAATCCTAACCACTAGACCACATGGGAGACACTCGCCTTTCTCTTCTTTTTCTCTCTATTTGTTTTGGAAGTGATCTTTATCTGTTTTACGAGTTTTTTCCTCCATATAACTCTACTTTCATATAAATTTGCATTGAATTTGACAAAAATAATAAGAACAAAAAAAATTGATAAAATCTTACATTTTACCACCGAGAAGCTTGATATTAGCAGTAACCACAACCGATCCAAAGAACACCAATGAAAAGGCTTCTGTGAATGCCGGCCCTGTACCAGCAACTGTATCTTGAAGCAATCTAAACAAGAAACACTTAAATTTACATAAATATTATAAAATTTACTTGTTTTGACTTTTAAATGCCTAAAAACTCAAAGTTTCAAAGAATTAAAACCTGACATTTTTAAAATTTAATGAATCTATAAAATTATAATGTTTTATGAAGTTAAAGCAAACATACAATGATAAAACGACGCATACAAACAATGGTCCCCATAGATCCCAATCTCTGAGGCAATGCTGGTCCTTTGGCGGTATTAATACTTGCATAAACTTGGCAGCGATCAATTTAGCATCTCTTTTCTAAAACACATTTTGTAAATAACTATATAATCAGTGTAACAATCCTAAGTACCTTGAAAATAAACCTTCAACAACTAGTTCGTTTACAATCCATAAAACAAATCCAAATTCATGTTGTAGTACCCCTAAAATTAAAAGAAAAAACTAAATAAACTCACAATAGTGACAATAACCGGTTCGTCGAGAGTGTCAAAGTCTGTAGCGCCATCAATGGGATCGGAATTGTAATTCTGATTTGGATTGTAGCTTCTGGGAGCTGCGTTGCCAATAGTTCCACTCAAGTCTTCGAAATTCTGTGTTCGTCGACTTTCTTCTTTCTCTTGAATTTCTTTTTCTAACTAAAAAAATCTCTTTAGCTAATATACTACAATTTTTTAAGTTAATCATAATAAAAACTTCAACGAACGTGTAATTAAAATTATGTTAAAAATGAGCAAGTTTTATATCTTCTACAGCTGTGTATTGTATTACTTCTACCATAAAAACAAAATTAATAAAAACCTAAATATTCCTACAACAACATAGAAAATAAGAGTTTTATCCGTTTAAAAGGTTCTATGCTATTATCTATTATGTCAGTAATACAAAAAGATCTAGAGAACATTTTTTAGAAGTTTTATTATACGAGGACAATCTTAGAACCTCACATCTGTTTGAACTTCTTTCACATACACCAATATAGATAACAAAAATTTAACCATCAATTCTCCTTCATTTTAACATACTACCTAAAATTCAATCAATCAATTTAAAAAACATACCATTTCCAAGTCCAAAGCCACATTCATACCGGAATTAGATTGAGCCATAATTAAAATGGCAGGAATAAGTGAAGTTCACTACAAATCGATAAAAACAACAACCGATATCCAAATTACAGATTTTTTTAATGTTTATACTCTTCAAGAATTGTAAAAAAGATGTGTTCGCGGTATAAAAACTCGGAATTTTAGTCGGAAATTGTGTTTGCCAACGTATTAAAACAGAACGCCAAAGAAAATAAACAAATGCCAAATGCGCGCGCAATTTGAATTAAAATTTTACACGAATGGGGGAAATTTTGGATGTAGATGGAAATGCAAAAAAGAAAAATAAATAAAGTTGTATTAAATTGCAATGTAATACAACTTTATGAGTTTAATAAACCAAATAGCTTTAAGTATTTATACAAAGACGTTAATAATAGCAACACATGACTAATATTATCCGTTAATCTTGTCGTTATTGTCCATTAGGCTTGTCTTTGGCCTTGCCAAGTAAGCACTGAACAACTTGAGCCACAATAGTTACTAATAACAGGACAACAGCAGAGGCAACCATGAGATCCAACGAATACGAAGTTATGAAGTAGTACTTGTAATGTGACACGTCAACACCTTGAGCTTCAGCTTTTTCCACGTACTTGAAGTATTCTGAAATGAAAAATTATTATAGAAGTTATAAATAGAAGCAAGACTAAGCCTTAAGAGGAACTTCAACTTTTCGTAACACAAACAAATGAAAAAGTCCACAACTTTGTTCATGATATAAAAACTCACCATCCTTGGTTTGCATGTACCAATAAACAGCAGAACCAATGTTCAAACCAAACGCAGCAAATGTCATTAATCCGATTAGACCAAAGAGTCCGGGACAACAACAGCAAAAGCTGAAAATCGACCAGACAATCGCGAAGAGCTGAAGACCACAGGACGTTCCGACCATACTCATCGTTATCTTAGCGTAAGCTTCGTCATTATGAAATAAAATATGTTTCAAATGTTTTAGCTTGCCTTCATTATAGTAAAACGTAATATATCAAAGCAAAAAAAGGTGTCTTATGTAAAATTGTGCTACAAGATGTCTTACAAGGAAGGTGCGCGACCAGCTCCGCTCTAGGGAGAGAGCGCTCTGATTGACTTCAAACTTCTGAGCTGAGCAGCTTGAGTAATTTTCTTGTAATCAGAAGACTTAACTACAATAAAGTAACTACTTACTGAAGTACAGTAGCTTTCACTATCTTTAGAATCTTTATCTTTTTCATTTGGTTTTTTGGTAGTCATATATGACGTCATAGTCTTGTTATCGAAGAAACAATCAAACAAAGAGCTTTTCATCATGTTTCCCGCGTTAGTTGTTGGTACACTCGTCCAAGCAGGTAAAAGTAGTCCTAACAACGTAATGCCCAGAGCTATTAAGCATCCCACGACAAATACAGGCTTTAAGATTATGATCTTGCACATGGTTGTGGATCTGAAAATTAAATTTTTATTAAAAATCCGATTCAAATAAAAATATTAGTAAAATTTTGAAAAATATTTACTACGTTACCTAAAAAACTTAGAAACTCTAATCAAAGTACAACGGACACTCTTTAAAGTTCAAAACCAACCTTTACCCTGCTTTGCTACAATAGTAAAATGTAAATAATGATCTTTTTACCTGGTGTGAATTACTCTTGGAATCTTACAATACGCTTTTTGATGTCCTCAACCTGAGAAAAAACCAATTAAAAGCGATTTGACAATAAAGTTATTCTTGGTCATTCCTTGTCTTGTAAAGAAAGTTATTGCCATTCTTTGTCTTGTAAAGAAAGTTCTTGCCATTTTTTAGTTAGCCGGCGCTAATGTAGCTTCTCTTCTTGAGTTGCCTACTCATGAATCAGCTGTTTCTGCCCAATTCGTTTCATCGTCTTCCTGTCCTCATCATACCATCTTATTCTTGGCCTGCCAACTGGTCTTTTGTCTGACAGATTCAGATTCTCCATTACCTTTCTCGACCACCTCAAACTACTAAGTTGTTCAAATAATTCTGCGCCTTTTCTCAAAGCAAAACGTTGAGGTTCTAAGGTACAAAATTTTTTGAACAATCTAATATTTGACATAAAACAATAAATATGAAGATCAGTAAGTTTTTTATTTCCAAAATCACAAAAATCAGCGATGCTTGTTCCTGATGATAAGAAGTTGAGTGACGACACCAAAAATGACACTCAAAAACAGTAAAATGGTGGATCCTATCATCAAATGAATGCTGTATGTATATAAGTTGAGGTAAGCGTCATCAGAGACTTTAACGAACACTGAAATCAAAATTAAAAAAAATTTTTTTTAATTTTAAGTTTAAAAAAAAATTTTTTTTATTACTAAACCATAAAATAAAAATACATTTTTCAAAAAAAATTTTAAAATAAATTAAATTTTTTTTTCAAACTAAACCTACAATCTTTGCTCTGAGAAACCCAATAGCCTAGAGCAGCACCATTCAGCACGGCGGCGACACAAGTACAAGCTGGTGCTGGACTGAAAAAGCTGGCAAAACGACCCACAAACAAATGGCAGATGACCCAAACCGAAGCGAACATTTGAGTAAACACTGACATAAAGGCAATCACTGTGGTTGTCGTGAAAATGTTATCGTCATTCTAAAAATGGCATTAAAAGTTACAAACAGTAGTACTACTTTACCCTAAGTACAAGATGTTGTTGGGTAGAGAAGGTTAAGGTAAGGTAGGGTAAGATGAGGTAGGGTACGGTAGGGTAGGATAGGGTAGGGTACGGTAGGGTAGAATAGAAACTCACGTCAACACACTGCCTTCCATAACAAGTTTTGAATAATCCAACACGAAACAATACATCGTCGCTTACTTCAACCACATACCAACTGATCAAATTGATTGCTGCAAGCGTCGCAAACACACTTGTCGCAGTCAGTCCGGAAAACACATTTCTACATATCGTTACAGACATTCCCTACTGTCGCTTTGTAGTAAAATTGTCAGGAAAGTACAGTAAGTCAGCTCCAAAGTACGAAAAGTTTAGTTAGTTAAGTAGAAGGTATTTGAGATTATCCTAACAAGCTTAAGCGTAGGCTTATCGTTAACAATAGTAAAGGCCAATGAGTAAATTTTACAATTCACTATACAGTAGAGTAAAAACTATAGACAATCAGTAGCTTGTAAGCAAAAACAATCAGAAGAATAAAACAGAAAGATATATCGTATTTTAGAAAATTTAAGACCAGTCGTCTTTACAAAAAATTAAAAAATAGCATTTTTTTGAAATCTTTTTGTGTTGAAACTTTAGCCAAAGCAGTCAAAAACATATTACTGCACAAGACAAAAACCAGTAAAAACTTTATTTCCAAAAAATCACTTGATTCTGTTTGCTTTGATCAATCACTTCATTCTGCCCGTTTTGATCATATGTTGGACGAACATGGCGATAATGGAGCCCACAATCAGTAGAATAGAAGATAAAATCATTCCGTGAAGACTGTAGGTTTTCGAATTGAGAAGATTGCCCTCTTTCATTTCGTAATCTGAACGTAAAATATACTTCAGTCAACTTTCGTTATAGTCAACATGTTTATAGGTAATATAACGCCTGAGATCCACATTTCTATACGTAATATGTTTTTATAATCAAAAACGCCCCCCCCCCTCTCCTCATCTCAAAAAGTTTTTCCTTCACCCCTCCCTTAAAAAATTACTCTTCTCATCCACAAAAATTCTTTAATTGAACCTAACCTCCTCTTATATCGTAAAAACCGTACCACTTGGAGCTTGTGTCATCCAGTAGACCAAAGCAACAATGTTGAGAAACGCACCAACTCCAGTTAGTACTCCAGCCGGAGTGAACATAGTGGCAATTTTGACAATACAGTAAGTGCAGATCGCGTATATCAGGGCGCCAATTTGGAAGAGCAACGACAGTATCACGATGACGGCTGTAACTTTGGCAGATGGCGCGCTTGCCTAGACAAAGTTTGTCATATTAGGATTATATTGTCATACCTACACTATACTTCTAGTATCATGTATATTACTATACTATAACACATTATAGAACGCTACAAATAGTTGTGATTCCTTAGAAAACACACCCCTTCCCTAACGTTATACCGCCCCCTCATTATACACACCCACCTCATATTATACATCCCCCCACCACCTATTTATGAAGAACTTACCTCTCCGCACACAGAATTTATACAAGACCGAAACAGTCCAACATGACATGTATTAAAAAAGCAATTGAACGACATCCAATCAGGCATGTACAAAGCAGCCATGGTGTTGATCATGCTCATGACGGTCAACACAATGAAGACTATTCTCAGAACAAGCACACTACATCCTCCCATGGTGAAGTTTTACTGTTAAAGTAACGAGGCAACAGTCAGTAGAAGTAGAGATCTATATTGAGGTAGGTACTAGTATCAGTGTTGGAGTACTCACTAAAATCAGTATTAAGTTAGGTGATAGAATCAATCCTAAAAAGTTCTATCAGTGTTAACATACCTGTTAGTATAAATACTCAGCTACCTACTAGAATCAGTATTCAAATTCCAATGAGTACAAAGAGCAAATAGTATCAGTCCAAACAGAATTAGTTAGCTGGTACTTACATTAGACTACAGGAAAAGTTGAATCAGTAAATCGAAAGGCTCTTGACCCGACCAATCAGTTTCACAAAAAAAGAAAAACAGTTAAAAGTAAACTTTAAAAAGTCATTTTTAAAAACTTTTTTAAATTTTTCAACAAATTTCAGTGAAACTTTTTATGTAAAACTTTGAATTGTCAGAAATAGTGTCAAAACCTAAGACAATATCGTTATCATAACTCTATCAATGAAAAATCACAAAAACTTACATTATCCTTCCTTTACAGTCGATGTTATCATCAACTTTACCCATATAATCTGTTTAAAGCCTTGACTACAAGTCATTACTGAAGCTTCTGAAACTATCGTAAATCCACCCAGAAGTCAGACAACTTAATTTCAAAAGCCATCAAAGATATTGAGTTCAGATTCAATGTAGACAACCAGGGCCAGGCGGGGACTTTCGGTCTGGGGACGGGGTTCCAAAAAATCCACAGGGGGGACCACGTTCAATTTTTTTCGAAATTTTTTTTCTGGGGGGGGGGAGGTTTTCACCGTTTTTTGAACTTTCATCTAGCATGAAGACACCGTGGTGTAAATCATCTCAAGCTCACCTTTTCGACTAAAAATCGGACCGTTTTACAAACTTCTACCTCCGTCCCAAGAGATGTATTCTTCTACCTTTACTACTGGTTGTGACTGCATGCCCTAACCAGAACCAACATAACGTCAAAACTTTTTAGATCAACCCACCAAATTTTAAAAATATGATTCAAAACCGAAACGTCAATTTATTCCGCATCCGACTTTAGAGCAGGATAGGGTAAAACTTCTTATCCGACTTTAGCCTTGCTCAGTAGATACTGAATGAATTGAGCGAGGATAGTGACCACTAAGAGAATGAAAGCGCTGGCAAACATAATGTATAAACAGAAGGCAGCTGGATTGAAGTAGGTCGTGAAGAAGGATGTGTCAGCACCGTGAGCATTTGCTTCGTCAAGGTATTCAAAGAACTCTGAAGATACATTATTTTACATTTTATAGGTTTTGGAAGCAAAATTTTTGATTTTTATCAGCCCTCTGGTCTGAAAAATTTAAATTCTTCTCCTAGCTTTGAAGAGGTACACTCAAGAGTACTTCAAGAAAAGAAGAATGCCCTCCCTTCTCTATATCTTCTTTCGAAATCAGGTATTACTAGTAGTTATACAACCCAATACTTTAATACCAAAACACAACTTTGCTTCCAAGCTCAATAACAACATGTAAAACCTTACCATCTCTAGTCTGTGAGTACCAGTAATAAACTGTGCTAATATTCAAGCAACAGGCAACAAACTTCAACGCTCCAATCGGGCCGAATAGGGCGGGACAACAACAAACACAAAAGCTGAAAATCGACCAAATAATCGCCGACCACTGAAGCAAAATCGATGTTCCAGCCATGGCCAAGGATACCTCCGCATAGGAATCTTCGTTCTGAAATATAGCTTTTTATGAATAGTATTATTAAATTGTTCGAATAATTATGTGCCCCATCTCATAGCAAATTTTTGAGGATAGGGGCAGATAATTATTTGAACAACCGTACCCTACTCTTCTCTACCCTACCTATTTTACCTTAGCCTACCTTACCCTACCCGATCTTAACCTACCATAACACATTCAGTTTTGTTGCTCATGATGACGGTCATGTTATCAGAGAAGCAGTCCAACCAAAGACCTTTTGCCTGCGTTGCTCCGGTAATTGTTAACGCTGCCTCCCAAGCAGGAAATGATATCGCTATCAATGTTAGTGTCATTGACATTGCGCATCCCACAATGAAAAGCGGCTTCAGAATCAAGATTTTACACATTGTTCAATAGCTGAAAACATGGATAACATTAAGGTAAAGTTCTCGTCCCGGAGATTTCTGCCCCAAAAGTTTCTGGCTCCAATATATTAGGTTGTTCATAAAATTCTGTGCCCTATCTCACGAACAGTGAAAAACCTTGATTCACTTAAAATTTCAAAGTCGAACCTAGGTACATTTTAAAAGAAAACAAAGCAATGCTTACCTTGGTAAGTCAGTATGATGAGTACTATAACATAGAGAGTAGAGTGACCAACTCAAAAAGTAAATCAGTATTCAGTCAGTGAAATGATAATCGCAAAAACAACCGTTTTATTGATTCAACATTTCAAAATGTAAAACAATATTTTCAAAAACTATACCAAATGTTTTAGACAAAAGAGAAGGTTACCTTGATAATCCAGTTAGCTCTTAGTATATTCAACTATGTGTATATTAAGACAAACTGTCTGGTTCTCGATGTTAGAGACATGATCATGCGAGACATCGATGTTACCTAAAACAAAAGGTTATTGCAAAGCAAAAATTGACACTTTATTAAACTTAAAATTTAAAAATTTTTAGATTTTAGCTAAAAATACATGTTTTATTAACAAAAAATAATATTAAAAGTCAAAATGCCAATGATTTATATTACCTATAGGAGGTATACTTAAATTTTCCATTTTCTGAAGACAAAAATATTTTTTTTCGCAAATCTGTTGCATTTGGAAGTCCCAAAAATACCACAACGAATACCACAGTAAGTACGGTAGACATCGCGGTGGACTTGCGGGAAATACAAAAAACTGAACCTTTTTCAATTCTTTTCACAATTTTTAAATTTTTTGGGCAATTCTTTCAAGGTTTAGATGTTTTTACTGATTTATGGATAACTTTTCATGGTTTTTATGTTTTGTAGTTGGTTTTAAATAAGTTTTACGCTTCAGAACTTAACAATAATGGAGAGAAGACGCGATCAAGGCTTTGACCAAGGAGTAGAAGGAAAGCCCAATAAATGGGTCAGTCTGAGGGCTGAACTAGCAAAGGTAAACTGACATTTTTTCATTTCCAAAGGTTTTAGAATGTTGTTTAAAGTTTTTTAAAACCTTATTTAGTCTTTAAACTAATTTTTCTCTTATTAACTTCAAAACTTCAAAAAATTTACTAATTTATTCTCATTTTTCAGCGTGGGTCAAAAGAACATGAACTTCTTTGTCTTCAAGACGCGTCCGATCAGCACGATGTTCACAGTGAACAAGATGTTCAGAACCAGAACGATGTACAGAATGTCAAACAAGAAGCTCTAGCTTTCCAAGCCTCTCCTCTACCACCAGTCCGACTGTTCAACTACTGCATCTACTCATTTGATCCCGAGTTTAGTGAGGACGACTTCAAACAGTTCGCGGCCGAATTCGTGCGCGTTGCTTGGGAACACAATCTGATGGTTGGCGAACCGATCGAGATGGAGACTTATGAGCTGGAGAAGCTTGAGGATTGCTTCTTTTCTGCTGTCGATGCTGAAGCTCAATTCGTTCTGGTGTTCACTGAGGGAAGAGATGCTTTGTTTCATCGTAAGTTTGTTTTTTGAAAGTGTTTTTGTTTTTAGGTATTAAAATACAGAGTAAAACGTGACTTTTGGATTAATTTCTTACCTAAAATAATTAAAGAAAAGTGTTTCTCAGCTTTGTGACACCTAAAATGACTGAAACAAGCTTGTTATGAACGTTTTGTTACCTAAAAAACCCATGGTTTTACTTTTCTTTCAATATTAAAGCTTAGAATTTGCCAAAACTTGGTCCTTCAATACCTAAACTTCTTATATTTTCAGAAAAAATCAAGCAATTGGGCACAAAGCACGAAATCTGCACCCAAGAGCTTCGTAGTCGTCATGCCACTCGAGCTGCCGGGATTCGCGAAGCGAAGAAGAGCTCCATCATGGCCACTGTTGTCAAAAATGCTCGCGAGAAGTTGATCAAGAGGTTCGGCGAGAAAGTCTTGGAGAAAAGTTACACTGAGCTACTGGCTCCGATTTGTGAAGCAGATGGTCAAGCAGCGCTAGACTACAAAAATTGCAACAGGTATCTATTCAGACAACTGTTGGTCGCCGAGCAAGAACGTATGCTGCACGATGAGTTGGAGAAGGACGAAGCGGAACGGCTGGCTGAAGTCGTGGCGAGTCATGAAGAAGAAGATGAAGGTGTTGTATCGGATTATGCAGAAGAAGATGAAGGGGTTGTGGCGGATGATGAAGTTGGTGATGAGCAGAAGGAGTCGGTATTGGTCATTAACTTTGGCAGAGTAAAATTTTTGGAGATGTAAGATGTTGAAGGTGTACGATGATGAAGCTGTTGAATATTCAGGTAACACTGACTGATACCTAACTATGATTGGGTTTTTATATTGTTTTATGGTCTATAATGGCCTTTATTTTTAACCTTTTGTTATATTTCTTTAATATTGTTATCAAATTGTTTTATTTCTCTATTTTGTTACTCTACTTTTTACTTGTAACCTAACTTTTTCACTTTCTCAACTTTCGAATTCTCACTTTTAATTTAATCTTTCCACTTTTTCCAAATATATTAACCGTTATACTAACTTTTTTTGTACATTATGTTATCTAAAGGTCATCATTTCTGTTCAAAAACTTGAAGATTCTCTTTTTTATTATCTAAATTTGGTCAAGTAATCACTGTTCTATCTTATTTTGTTTAATATTGTATAATAATAATTTTGTTATCTTTTATAATTTGTTAACATGTTTTTTGTTATCTATTGTTGTTTGCTGTAATATTGAGAAGGTTTTTTTATTTGTTGTTAAACTTTTCTCAAAAATTTGTTCGGAATTTTAATTTATTGATGAGTATTCTACTGTTGAGTTATACGTCGGCACGTCTGTGCTTATACCAGACCGTAGGGCGAGACCGGGCTGTTCACGGCCAGTTTTTCACCTTTACTCACAGCCTCTACCACTGACTATAGCTAATTATAAGCCTAAAGAAAGCTTCTGTATTTTAATTACGAATGCTTCACCAGTTCATTTCGAAAGCTTACCTTCATTTTTATGACTTTGTTTCATATTCAAATTTTATTGCCATAAGGTAGGAGGTCGTATTGTAATGCAAATCGAGTATAGGAATAGACTGTTTTAAAAGGTATAGTGAGCCAATTATCGAGACTTTGTTTTGTCGTTCTTGGGCTTCCATGAAGGTGTGGTACGTTCTGTTCTTGGTCATCATTGGTCTGGGTAAGTTTTGGATTAAGATTCATATAATTAACGATGTTGTTTATGGTTTTTAACGTAACTATGTAATAGAATAGGTTATCCTTTTATTTTTTTGATAACATAGATGGCTTTCCTTGGCTTATTGTTAGATATAAGACAGAGAGAGTCAATGCCCAAATCAAAGCCCGGTCCGTACGCCAGGCCAAGAAATAGATCCCGGCTCTTACAGGGATACTTACCTTAATATAAGACCTTCTAACCTATTAATAACCTTAAAAATAAGCTTATAAAATAAGTTTTTAACTCAGAAATATTATTTTTTAGCATCTTTGGTTGATGGAAAGAGAACCGTGAAGAAAGTGTCATATCGTCGTTCCAGCAAGATGCAGTGGAGCAGCAAAGGATAATACAAACTTACTTAACTATCCTCTTATGTGCTTGGAAAATAAAGCTTTTGCATTAAATATCTTGTCAAGTTTACTATATTATTTGCTATGAAATATGCGACCCAACACAGCAAAATAGTTTTCTGAATAAATTTGATATTATGTAGTTGAATTTTTTAAACGCCTATAAAAATGTTTAGATGACGTATTTTACGATATGATTGCGACTGCTTACACTGTAACACCTGTTACTTATAATAGGTTACACGCTTTATGGCGTTCAACTTACTATGCTTTAAGTAGTAACTTAACCATACTAATGGAATAGTTGCCAGAATTTTGATGATATATTACACATATAATATGTTGTTAACGTAAAAACACTTTTCGACGTATTTCACAATATAAAAAATGAATTGATAAAGCTACCAAAATTATAAGCGAAATAAAAAAGAAGACATAGATATTATAGCAAAGTTAAGTAATATAAAAAAATTTAAAAAGTTACGAAAATTGCAAGTTTACATTAATTTACCAGTACCATAAGCACCGTATTATGTACTTATAGGTTGTTGAAAAGAATTGGCCAAGTGTCGAGAAACATATCGACTAAAAACATTTTTTTTAATTTTAAAGTGTTTCAAAACTTATGTACGTAAAAAAATATTTTTTTACATTGCTTAAGCCGGAATGGCTGTCAGTACTAATCTTTATTTATTTTCAAAGGTTAACCGTATTGTTACTGTAAACCTTCTCAATACTTGCAAATATCAAATTGTGCAGAAAACTGCAAATAAATATTTTACTATTTAGTACTATTACAATATCATCATAATAGTTATATTCTTTTATGCAAACATCACAATAGCGTTCATTTTCTTTCAGCATATAAACTTTAATGAACGAATGCAGTAGACAGCAATAAGTTCATAAACCTATTCAAATGGTAATTTCTAGACAATAGTAAAAGCCTGATCATAATGAGTTTGTGAGTTTAAATAAAACTTTTATGGACTTTATATAATTATCAATAAAGTATTTAAATTGAATTTTTAACCAACAGGCATATCAATAACTTTAAGCAGGTAACTCAACGATGAATGTTATTTTGATTGTATGTTTGGCTTTGGCTTGTAAGTTTTGACAGACTTTTTAATAAACCGTCTTATAAGTGTCATTACACTGTTTTTACTTTAGTTTGCTACTAGACTAGCAAAGACGCTAAGCTGGGCCCAATTTTTCAGCAGAATTATGTTCAAATTTGCTTTGGCCTGGCTTTGCTCCTTATAAGTTGTTTTTAAATTGAAAAAATAATAACTGGTATAACTTGTATATGCTTCTTCTGTATAGGTTAGACTTGAGTTTATTAAATATATAACATATACTACTAAAGTAAAATAATTTATATTTTCACTAGAAGAATGAATCGTGCGTATTTTACAAACTCTAAATCCCACTTTATTATATTTTGCAGGGTTCTGTAACATCAGTGCCTATGTAATCCCAGAAGGCAGTGATCTTCCTCAGTTACCTTACGGCCGACTTTCGCCATACGGGTTCAGAAGAAGTCTTCCAATGGAGCCAGAGACCGCCGGCCAATTGCATCTGAGCTAAACGATGTAGTGTCGCACAAAACTACTAATAAATTTTAATAAATCAATTAATAAAAGGCATATTTAAATACAAGAAGTGTTTTAACTATTTAAATATAAAATTTTAAAGTAATTTTGTTTTAAAAAATTTTTTAAAAGCTCTACCAGCCATATAGTTTGCGTCTTACAAAGAAAGTAACCAACCTGCATTACTCAGATACAGATCAAAATATTTATATTAATTCTTTGTACTACAAATTTAATAGTAAAGAATTATTTAATTTTTTTACCGGTATATCGAATATAAATGATTAAAAGTAAAAAAATGACAAAGTTATAAGCTTGAAACAAAATGCCAATTTGGCGCCAACTTCAAAACGTAATTTTTAACCTCGATTTTCCCGAGGTTAACTAGATAGTACTTTGCTGAAAGTTTTATATTCACATGATAATTCTATATAAAAAGTTTGAACTCAATCAAAGCTTCTTTGTACGGTAAATGAGAAAAAAAACTTTAAATCGCTAAAAAAACTTTTGATTAGTTATAATCGATCTAGACGTCGAACTTCCTAGACTTTTCACGAAGCCTTGCTTATGATTCATAACTACAAAGTGCTGTTTACTTTTCCCAATCGCCAAATCTTTTATAATTATGCTACAACTTTATTTTTTCGTATTATCAACCAACACATAACTTATGACATTGTTATACTGACCCTTCCACATCTTCTAAAGGAACGTCATCAGGTAATCCCTTCAAAATGTCATCCTCAACATCATCAGCCATGTCTGCTTCCACTGGCACGCTTACCATTGCTAAAATACGTCAAACTAGTTTAGTGGAATCTACTGTAATACAATAAATAAACTTGGAAACCTAAAATAAGGTTAAAAATCTTTCGGCTAAAAATACTAAACCCCTTACCAAAAAGTAGTACTAGTAGTACCAATGACACAAATTTCATACTTTTGACACAGTAAATTTTGAAAAATTTAAAAATATAATACTTTTATGACAGTTATCAACTCGGAACATGTAAATGAATGAAAACAACATGAATATCATGTCAATTTGATTGGTTTTATGGCCAGTTCGAACATAAATTAACCATTAGGCTTCCTGAACATATGCATAGATCAAATTAAAATAAATTAATTTTCATAATATCATATCACAGTGAGCCTTCTCTAAAACTTAAGAAAAAATATTATTACCGGCAATATCTTGCAGTATATTAAAACCTATACCCAGGGCCGGGCGGGGACTTTTGGTCTGGGGGCGGGGGTCCAAAAAAATCGGCACAGGTAGCTCCTGTGCCGATTTTTTGCGAAATTTTTTTTCCGAAAATCCACAGGGGGACCACGTTAAATTTTTTTCAAAAATTTTTTTTCTGGGGGTACCCTCCCCCCCCTCCCCCTCCCCGTCCCCCCCCTCGCGCCCGGCCCTGCCTATACAAATATAACCCAATAGTTTATTATCAAAATTTTAGAACATGACAATATAACAAAAAATCTTATTGCGTTTCTTCATCTATACCTTTCCTAAACCACATTCCTCTTCAGGTTTGGTGCCTTTCGTTTAATGGAAGTAATGCCAGCGTAGCAACAAAAAGTGAAGAAACTGACGCACAAAACTGCTCCAATAACGATGATAAGAAAGGTATAATGTGGATTATACCCACCCAGATAAAAACATACGATCGCTGTGAAAACGATGAGTGAGAGAATAATAGTGCACATGTCGTTAGAAAAACTATAAACTACCCGGTAAAACGGAAGATGATTTCTGTAAGGATCAAAGAATAATTTCAGTAAATACTACGGAATGCTAAGAGTACGCTAACATGACACTTTTCGTGGTGGGACCTAATTCCATAAGGAAGTCGTTGGTGGATTAGGTGACATGATGAACCTAAGAGTTAGATCTTTTTAAAAATAAGCATTCAGAAAATTTTTTCTGTAGCGTTGATTTTTTATAACATTATATATTCTTGTCTATAACGTTCATTTACTGTATTTACTTGGACTTTACTATTCCGTTAATTTTTATTATATATAATGCATTAGAAAATAAATAAGTTGTACTTCCTCTTCTGCATCACTATCATCGTCATCTTCTTCATCTGTATCTGGTGATGTATTGCTAAAGTAAATTGCAGGAGGGGATTTGTAGGAAGTGTGCTTTTTTTGATCAGCTGCTTGGTTAAACAACGGGTAGGCCACTAAGCTTGGTCGCTGGCAGTTCAAGCATTTCATGGTCTTCTTATGGCATCCATCCATGTACTCCTTAAAGCACCTTCTACAAGCCACAATCCTCAAACACTGAAGACAGTAAATGGGTTCGTTTGCTTTATCTTCCAAGCAACATGGCACCCTTGATTTTTGAGCTCACATGAGCTGGATAGCTGCACCATTTGTTTTGTAGTTCTAAATAAATACACTATTTAGATGTTACAGTTTATATATTTGAATTTTTACTTTTATACTATTTAAAGTCTTTATTTTAACTTTTTTTATAGGTTTTATAAATGAACATTACGGAATAAAAGAGGCTTTTTTGAATTTAACATTCACAACATGGTTTACACTCGAAAGTCATTTTTTTACTATACAATAGTGAAAAATTAATTTAAATACAACTTACTTATAAAGCTGTAAAAAGATAGCCTTGTAAACATCCTGCATCTTTTCTGGGTTTGCCATGTACTCCAAGCTAGCTGTCTTCTCCACAGTTCTTTTGACAAGAACTTCAATCTTTTCAATCAGCTTTTTGTAGCCTTCGACGTCGAAGTTGGCAGCCACATCAACATTGACATTAGCGTCTTGGGAAGACATATTATTAATAATTTAATTAAAATAGGAAGACACAACTAAATCTTAAGATGTTACAGCCTATAATGAGATACACAAAAGCCAAGGTTCACTTCGCGATATCTGCACTTATTTTTAGTTTGCATCCGCACATATTTTTGTTTTCTTTGCAATATCTGCACACATTTTTGAAAAAGTAGAAAATAATATATTGGTGTTTGAGCTTTGGACATTCATCCTTTTTTTGTTAGATTTTAATTTAAAATGAAAAGATGAGCTTTAAATATACTACTTTATAAGTAAAATTTGTTGCTTATCATATTCTTTTTTGTTAAGATTTATGTCATTTTCATAATCTTTATCACAACCATTATTGTCACTATTTTCTTTATTTATACTCTGTCTACCTTCAATACCATCTATTTTCTGATACTTTTTTCTCAGTTTTTGCATAGTAAACTCGCTCAATATATCCACCTTTGCATACTTTAATATAAATCTTCAAAACCCAATATAAGCCTTGAGCCATTAGTAAACAGAAGTCGGGTTCTTCTCGGCGTTTATGCAATGACCAATTGAAGGAGGATATAAGACCATTTACAAAAGAAACAACCCATTTACCTCTCCAAACATAAGTGTGACCGGTTTGACGTCGCGCCGGCTCGAAAAGGGGAACAATATCAGATGTTATTCATCCCATTTTCGGATTTCAAGAACAAGGTTTTTGACGTCGAGGGCTTTTCCGTGGGATTCAGAAGGTCGATTCTGATGGTTGGGTGGGGTCAGGGTCAGAATATCATGTTTCTTTGTTTTGCAAAGTTAGAGAGGGATGAGGAGGTTTTGAAAAGGTACTGCTGGTACTGTTGAAAGATAATGTTGGTAATGAAGGCTCGGTAATTAAAGTTAAAATTAAAAGTCTGAAGCGAATTTACAGTACTTTTTCAATTATTTTTGATAATTTCAAATTGAAAAATGATTTAAAACGTCGACGGATCCGCGTGTTTTCATCGGCGGAACCGAAACCCGATAAAACAAAAAATGACTCATTCTGATTACCTTGTGTTAGCTTTACGTAATCTGCGAGAAGAAGAAACTAGACAATTCACGTTTTTCAATTTGATTTTTTATAGTGGAAAGAAAGTTTTTTCTAATTTTTTAATTTGTGAACAAAGTTTATGCAATTTCAAGGCTAATTAAAGAAAGCATGGGGTTTGCAGTCTGCGGGTGACAAGTTATACGTTAGCTTAAGTTTTGAACTATTGTATAGAAAGTTCTGGCCATTTTATGATAAGGAAGGTTCATGCTATTTTTTAATTTGTAAAAAAAATTTTTGCCATTTCTTGTTTTGTGAAGAAAGTTTTTGCAATTTCTGCTTTGTAAACAAAGTTTTTGCCGTATTAGTAAGAATTAGTAGCCGTTTTGACTAACGACCATTTAGGCGGCTAAACGACCGCTTCTTTGTTATGTTTTGTGGTGAAAATCCCTCGAAACCTGTCTCATCTTCAGCGAACAAAAAACCCCTGAGGAGAAAAAGGTTCGAGGTAGTCGAAGGGATTTATATTATAATTGTTTTCTTTATATTCAGCTTTTGTAAATTTCACGTGGAAAGGGTTTTTTTTGTAAAATACGGAGGTAGAAAGATGACGAAAATCATTTTTTAAAAATTTTGATAAAGTTGTCGCTGTTTTATGTTTTGTAAAGAAAGTTCTTGTCGGTTCTGGTTTTGAAAAAAAAAATCTTGCCGTTTCTTGTTTTGTAAACAAAGTTCTTGCCATTTACTCTTTTGTAAACAATTTTCTTTCAATTTCAGGCTTTGTAAAGAAAGTTCTTGAATTTTTAATTAAATTAAAGTAAATTTGATGTTTCACCGTCTGCTTTGACAAGTTATACGAGAAATACTATATTTTGGCTTTTTGAATAAAAATTTTTTAATTCTATATTTTGTAAAGAAAGTTCTTTTCATTTTTTAAAATTATTTTTTTCAATATTTATTTTGTAAATAAATTTTTTGCCATTTTTGAATTTTTAAACAGTTTTTTTTTCAATATTTCATTCTGTATCGAAAGTTTGTGCCATTTTTCGATCCAACGTCAAATCTCGAACTTACAGAATAAGATCTATTGTACAAACAAGCTTTATTCAAAATGACCGGTTTTTCAATATTTTTTTCATAAATTCTAGATGCAGATTAGATGGCGAACATCAGTCGAATCTGACTTTTACTTTTAAAGAGTAATGTTGCGTGGTTAATGTTACTCATCTTATATTCTTTATATCATCTTGTTATATGTATTACACTTTCGGTGAAAAAATTCTCTCAGAAAAAACAAGTTGAATTTTAAATTTATTGAAATTTAAAATTTTAAAATTTGAAGATTTTATCAATTTGTATAATAGGATATCTTTTTGTAAAATACGTCGTCAATCGTTTTTTTAGTATATTTATTGATGTTTTTAGGTGTAGCTTGTCCTAAATGACAGAAAAATGAAAAATTGGTTAACTTTTGCAGCTTTTCATGTTGCACTTTTATGTATTTCCGTAAGTTACCTATATTATTAGAGAGACATAGAAGAGACACCCACAGTGAATTGTGTACATATGAGCTCATTTTGTATTATATAATATTATTCAAAGACGTCGCTAAGGTGAAGGGAAGAGGGGTGAATGGGGTAGATCCACCTTATTACTACTCTTCTCCTCCCCCCTCCCCTTTAGAAAAAATCTGTAGCGATTTCCTTGATACCATAGTATGTAAAATACCAAGAAAATTGTCACAATTCGTGTGGTAAAATACGTCATCAGTGTATCCATCATGTATTAGGTTGTTCAAACAATTATGTGCTTGTTAACCTCAAAAATTTACTTCGAGAGGGGCACAGAATTATTTTAACAACCTCAAAACTATGTTGGTCTTTCCCAAATTATGTTTTAAAAATACATGCCCAAAAAACTGATATACTTATATTAAATTTTACATTTTCAGGCCCAAAACTTTCTCTCATTGATCCAGCCCTTCTTGGGTAGTGGTCTGGACACTCCAAGTGCAGCTACTGGCGGTGGAAGTGGATTGGGATCAGCTTTGGGTGGTGGTGGAATGCCAATGGGTGGTGGAGGAAATGGACAAGCTCTTTCTGTAAGCTATTATTTTTATTTCAAAATTTTTTAAAATGATTTTTTTTTTGCATATTTTGAATTCTTTTTGAACGTTGTAAAGAAAGTTTTTGCCAGTTTCGATAATATGAAGAAAGTCTTGTTTTTTTGCAGCCTGCAGGTGACATTTTATACGATAAATACCATTTTTAAATTTGTAAACAGCTCTTTTTCTATATTTTGTTTTGTAAAGAAAGTTTCTGCAGTTTTTAATTTTCAAAAAACCACCTTTTTTACCCCCCCCCCCTTGCTAAAATACATATTTACTCTGCCCAAGACCTCAAAATATTTTTACCCAACCTTACATTCTCTCCTCTTTCCAGGGCCTTGCCCAAATGTTTGGTGCACCAGGAGGTCCGGGCAGTGGGGACGAGTACGGTAACAATCCAATCGGGGATTTTGTAAATTTGGGCCAAGCCATCGCCGAAGCCAGCAAAAAGAAGCCGCCGCCGAGGAAGAGAAGTACGGATGAGTATCTAGCCGAGTATTACATTAAGTATTCAGATCCGCCCAAGCCCAAACGCAAGCCCAAACCCAAGCCGAAGCCTAAACCTAAGCCTAGACGCGAGAATAGATTCAGGGTGCGGCCGGAACGAGAGTCTGCTGGTATGTTTAGAGGCTAGTTGATGCTTATTCTTTTAGTATTAATTTAGTACGAGTTATTACATTAGTATGTATGCCTTAGTACAAAGTATCGTATTTGCTAGGTACTATAACTAGTTAGTACTAGCCATAGTAGTAGCCTAGTACAAACTAGTTATAAGTCAGTACTAAATATAGTGCTATCTTAGTACAAGCTGTTTATATGTTATTACTAGTTACAGTACTAGCCTAGTAAAACCATTTATAGGTTAGCAATAGTTAAAGTACTGTCGTAGTACAAGAACTGATAGCTCAGTACTAGTTACGGTACTAGCCTAATACAAGCTGTTTGTAGGTTAGTACTGCTCATAGTATTAGCCTACTGCAAGATATTTGTTGTTTATTAATAGCTATAGTACTAGCTTAGTACAAGCTATTTGTAAGTTAGTACTAGTTATAACACTAGAAAAGTGCAAACTACTTATAGGTTAGTACGTTAGTACAACCTATTAGTACAACCTATAATACTAGTCTAGTACAAGCTACGCATTTAGTACAGTACAAAACGCCGAATTAGACTAGTACAAACACAATACTACCCCCCCCCCTTATTTATAGCTATAGCAATATAACACCCCAAAGGCTTTTTTGCTTTAAAATTTGTTTAAAATTACTTGTAACCATACAACCACTACTTATGTTACACTACGCTGAATGTACACGTCTTTTGCAATTCGTTGAGCTTCTAACATTTTTCTGTGCAATATTGTAATTTATTTTATTTTTTTATTTTGCACTTTTATTTTATTTGAATAAACACGCTTTTCACTGTTGTTTTAATTTTATTTTGCTAGAGGGATTTTAATTAAAAATATATATTATAACTTTAGTTTAAACAAGGAGCAAAAAACACAATAAATCAATTTTTTTCTTAAAATACGGCATATAAACTTACAATTTATAAAAATTTAAACAGTTTTTTTCACTTTCTGACTTTAAAATCACCTTTTTATGTTAGGTTGTTCAAATAATTTTGTGCCGAATCTTTAAAAAAAATTTTAAGATAGGGGCCACAGAATTATTGGAACACGCTTATACATACTATCTTTCGATACAGTATGATCCTATTGATATAAAGTAATGGCCAAATTTTAGAATGGTTGTTCAGAAGCAAGCGTCAAGCTAACCCATTTCAATTTTTAAATATGTTGTAAGTTTTCAAACATTTATTGTTTTTGTTTAGCAAAGCCTTTTTATGACGTTAGTAAATGCTATCAGGAACTCCACTAGGGGCAGAGAAGGAGAGGGTAAAGAGGGTGGATCAACCACTCCTCAAATCCGAAAAAACTAAAAATAATAAACTACCTGTACGTAAAGGTAGCAATCTCTTTATATGACATTTTAAAAGGCAATTAACCTTGCCATTACATAAAACAACTAAAGGTTTTGAGACCGTATTTTACAAATTAATCCAGTTTTTTTTTTATTTAAATTATGCTTCAGAGCCCCAAGACAAAGTGGTGCACCAGTAGGCAAGCTGACTGATCGTTTCGGCAAAAACTTCTTCAAGGTTTGTTGTTTTTTTGTTTTTTATTAGGGGTGAGAAACGGGCCGTGTAGACACGGTACGGTCCAGCCCGACCCTACGACTGAGCCGGCCTTGAACTAAAGTTGTAAAGGACCTGGCTTGAAAAGTTTCTTTCCCCTATTTAAAGTTCTAAGCCTTCATTGTTACAACTATAATTAACCAGAAGATAAAACTTTGGTCGTATTTTACCTTTTTTTCAGTTTTTGGACGAATTACATGAGTATTCTCAGCTGATTCCTGAATCAACCCCAGGTCCTGTAACTGCACCCCGTAAGTTTATACTTTACTTATTAACCTTTTTTGAATCTCAATTTCTGCTTAGCTAAATGTAGTATCCACCGCCATTTTTCGACGAATTTCTGGCATTTCTACTAAAAATTTGCATTTTTAACTTTCACTTTAAATTAGATCGTTCAACTAATTCTGTGCCCCTTAGGAAAACAAATTGGTTAGGGAGCGCATAATTACTTAAACAACCTAATAGCTTTTAAAAATTTGGCTTCAACATTTATTCTTTCAGCCACCCTTTTCCCTACGCTTTTTCCCACCCCTCCGCCAGCCCAAACACCACCCCCTTTTACACTTTTACCCCCGCCCGGCCAACCCCCTGCCCCATTCACATTATTACCACACCCAGAAGAAACTTCTCCTCCAATAACATTGTTACCACCCCCTGGACCAACACCTGCCCCAGCCACGTTATTACCACCCCCTGGACAAACTCCTGCTCCAGCCACTTTAGTTCCCTCGCCCGGCCAAACCCCTGCCCCGTTTACTCTTTTACCACCGCCAGGCCAAACCCTTGCCCCATTCACATTACTACCCCCTGGCCAAACCGCAGCACCAATAACACTTTTTCCACCGCCCGGCCACACTCCACCCCCAATAACACTCTTACCACCTCCAGGTGAAACACCACCCCCATTCACACTGCTTCCCCCTCCACCCACGCCCCCACCCCAAGCAGCACTGGTTACCGTGAAGGCTGAAGGAGTACCATTGTTTCCAGTAGTAGGAGAGAAGAACATCATCGCTTCTGATGTGGGGCTACAAGATCCACAGTCAAAGTAAGTATTATATTATTCATGATGGCGTTGACATTTCGTTATATATAAAGCAAAGTAAATAAACTTATTTTACAAATTTTATGACTTTTTGGAAAAACTTAAGCAAGAACTTTCTTTACAAAGCAACAACTGACAAAAACTTTGTTTCCAAAGCGCAAAATGTATTTATCGTATAAATCGTCACCCGCAGCCTGCATAGTCGAAAAGTACGATTACTTTTGTCAGATTTGGTATATTCTTTTCAAACTTAAAAATAGCAAGAACTTTCTTTACACACCAAAAAAGGAACAAAAACTGTTTCCAAAACGAAAATGTATTTATCGTATAACTTGTCACCCGCAGACTGCAGAACTGAAATTTTCTTTATACAGCCTTATAATGGCAAAAACTTTCTTTATATTAGATTGTTCAAATAATTCTATGCTCCTTCTCAAAGCTATTTTTTGTTAGGGGGCACAGGATTATTTGAACAACCTAATATCAAACATTAACATTTAAATCGTAGCCCTTGCCAACTACCCTATAGCTAGAAAAGACGGCAAAAACTTTGTTTCCAATTAAAAAATAAAATTTAAAGTTCACCAAAAATAAAAAAGCAGAAACTTTCTTTACAAGTTCTAATTTCAGAGACCTACTGGACGCAAACAACTTGATGAGAGGTTTCCTGAATACAATGGCTAAATTGGGAGGAAAGCCGACCAGACAATATAAACCTTTGAGAGCGATGAATGATGGCACTGAGGCTGGGCGGAATCGACCGTTGATGGATCAGTTATTCGAAAGTGACATTCTGTTGACTTCCAAACAGATCAAGGCGTAAGTTCAATGCTTATTAAGTTGTTCAATTAATTCTGAGCCACTTTCAAACCAATTTTGGAGGTTAGGTGGCTCAGAATTTTTTAAACAAGCAATTATAAGATTTTTATAAAAAAATCAATTTAAAAAATCCAATTTTAAGCTTTATATTGCCTCAAAAAGATCAAATCAACATTGCTTTAACTAAAACAATATTGTTTTCTTTAACATTTTTACCATAAATACCTAAAATTAAGTTTAAAAAACTAAAATATTGTGGTAGACCAACATATAATACCAAAAAAATCTCAACAAACCACAAGACAAACTAATATTCACTCAAATCAAGAAAATAAGCAAATATTTATTCAAATCAAGCTACGATAACATTGTCCTTCATATGGAGAGATGTTCTTGTAATCTCCACAACAAGCGATTGAAGTATTAGTCGATTCTGATGCCGGCCATGGCCAGATATACTTAAGGTAACATTGGGTGATGAATTGGGAGTAGCTCAGCTCTTCCAACGCTGAAGCCGTGGCTGAGAAGCAGACCAAGACTGCCACAACTAAAACAATAAAAAATTAATAAAATAACGTCAAAAAAATCAAACGTAATATCAAAAAAATATATAAATGGGCAATCACAAATAAACATTTCGTATTTTACATTTCAAACTCAAAATTAAAAATTTCAGTTGAAAACACGACTTCCATTTTCGTGAAGAATCCTTAACAAAAATAGAATCCCAATTTTCAAATTTTAAAATAACTCGCAAGGAAAGTGGCCGACCTGCCCCGCTCTGATAATGTTTAAGACCATGTAAATATAAGATCTTCAGCAAAGTACTAAATCGCGCAGTCAATCTCGATAAAATCGAGATCAAAAAAAGCTTGCAACATTGTTATTTTTTGGCTTTTGATCATTTTTCTTTAATATACTAGTAGAAAACCTTTAAAATGACATAAATTCTTAAATTTGTAAGCGTACCTTGTCTGGAAAATCAAGAAAAGGCTTGAAACACAATGCCAAAATTGCCAAATTGGCGGTAAACTCAAATACATAAATTTTAAAACTCAAAAGCGCGAGGTAAACACTTTTAATGAGTACTATTAGTAGTACAAAGAACTCATATAAAAACTTTAAACTGATTCTAAGCGGGGTAGGCCAAAACCTTCCGGAAGATGTTTAGGCCTTCCTCTTCAATTAAATCAATAAAAATGACAAAGAAACACTTACCAACAATAGACAAGCATACTGCCATGTCAAGCTTACTTATGTATCCACAAGCCCTAAAATAAGTACTAATTACTTGGCTTCGAACATAAACGTTGTAAAATACGAGTTAAACTGTAAAAGATAAAATTTTTTTTTCTGGAATGTAAAGAAAGTTCTTGCCATTTACTGATTTGTAAAGAAAGTTTTTGCCATATTTTGTTTGTAAAAAAAGTTCTTGTCATTTTCTGCTTTGTAAAAAAAGTTTTAACCATTTCCCTATCATAGTGGTAAAATACGACCAATTAATCAACACTTCACACATAAAAACCAAACAAACACTTAAAAACTAAACCTACTCCCAGAGTCCCATACTGACAGTTTTTTCTTCATTCTCATCCAATTCCACTTCTTCTCCCTCTTCTTCCATTTCTCTCATTTTCTTATCTTTTGCGTTCACAAAAAGGTAAAATACGACTGGGAAGATGAAGGAGGTAGCAGTGAACGCGGTTCCTCCAATCAAGTCGATCAATGGGCCGAAGCGAGGAAAGGTTTCGGCCACAAACACAGCGGCCAGCATGACTCCAGTGCGGCAGAGGACTCGGCGGAGACTGAATTCTGAAAGGATGAGGTAGTGGTTGGGGTAAATTTTTTTAGATAGGGTGGGCTAAGTTTTGCCAAATCATCTTTTTTAGCTTGGCGGGTAACATATTAAATTTTTAAAATAATTCTGTGCCCCCTAACTCCAAAGACTTGTTTTGAGAAGAAGCACAGAATTATTTGAATCACAATAAAACTTCAAAACACCCTTACCAGCCGGAGCTCCCCCAAAATGTTCGACCTGTTGATTCATTGGATTCATTACCAGCACGACAGTTAGTGCACAGTGCATGAAAAAGAGGATATTGACCGTTTGTTGGATCCAAGGGGTGTTGATGTTATTGATGATAGATGGTTGAACATTGTTGCCGTATACCAGGTTGCCAGCTACGACTATCGGTATGTACATGAATCCTACTACTGAAAATGACTACATTCAGGGCCGGGCGCGATTGTATAATATCAGATGGGGGGGGGGACGGGGGGGGGGAGGGGTACACCCCCCCCAGAAAAAAATTTTCGAAAAAAGTTGAACGTGGTCCCCCTGTGGATTTTCGGAAAAAAAATTCGCAAAAAATCGGCACAGCTAACTGTGCCGATTTTTTAGACCCCTGCCCCCAGACCAAAAGTCCCCGCCCGGCCCTGACTACATTACTAAGATGTTTGATACAAACTTTACAAAAGACAAGAATTTTGTTTACACAACAAAAAATGACAAGAACTTTCTTTACAACACCAAAACTCACAAGTATATGCCATGTTAGAGCTTCTGGTAAACAAATAAGGTTTCTTCATGTCATGTTGGATAATTGGGAATACAGCATGACCTCCATATGCAAAAAACATTGTTCCAAAGCCTCCGGCGACCCGCAAAACTGAATAATCAACCGGTTTTACGCCCAAATCGCAAAGCCAAGCATCTTTTATTATACCAATCATAGCAAAAACTATGGCCATTATTGTGCACAAGCTTCCAGCGTTTATTATCCAGCTAAAATAAGGTTTTTATACAGATTTTTGTTACCTAAAAATTCGTTTTTACCTCTAAACCTAAAACAATCAGTTTAAAACCTAAAATAAAAAAAACTTCATTTTAATTACCTAAAACAATACAAAACCCCCAAATACTGCAGTTTATTAAATAAAATCCAACTCACGTAAGGTTTTCCGGCGATCTCAAGTAAAAACTGGGCAATATTATCGAAGCGACTATTAGTACCATATAACAATAATCGAATTCGATAGCCCAAAACGTTTTTAGCATGTCATTGACACCTTTCGATACCACGACAAGAAATAGAGCTCCAACCCCGAACATTCCATTATTCAATATTATACCCACTGCTCGTCTGAAAATGTTATTATAACTGCTAAAGCTTTTTAAATTTGCCAAATTTGTATTCAGTCTATAGTATTATACAGCAATACAGCAAGTTTTATACCAATCAGAACAAAATCAAGTAAGATACGACAGTTTTAAGTGATATAGGTATCTATGATAATATAAAGCGTTGCAAGAGTAAAAATATCGAAAAGAAAATGCGGAAGACAATAATCAAAACAATATTATTCCTTTGAGGTCCTTTTTTGACCAAAATAATGTCAAAAAAAAGCTTTATCATTCCAATCCGATCAAATATTACCTAAACCAATAAGAACAAAGTCAAAGTTTACCTCATATTATGTCCCAAAGCTCTTCTGCCAATTTCCGCATATGGATTCTTAGTATGATGGTGATACATAGGCCAATGTCTCATCAATATTACCCATGTTCGGCCCAAAATAATCGAGGTATAGGCGCACATAAACATCAATATTATGGTTGATGCTAGACCAAAATAAAAACCTGAAATTAAGTTTTGTAGCCAAAGATAAAAGCGCCGAATCTTTGCATAATATATAATAATAGATCTGTTACCTCCTTCTTTGTCATTCCATCAATATTGTCATGAAAAACAAATTTGTAGCTTCAAATTAAAATTTTTCTCAACCAAACGACAAAATAACGTATTTTACCTTGATTCCTGGCGGCCAAAGGCAAAGCAATCATTCCACCACCAGCTAGCTCTCCAGTCAAGAAAATCCCGGCCGTAAACCAGTGCATTCCATGAGTTTTCTCCAGTTTTCCATCTGAATTTTCAAAAACATCACCAGATTTGGCGGATTTTGAGCTGAAATTTCAAATTTTAAAGAAATAATGAATTTAAATAAATACAATATAAACTAAAAATATATAAAAATGTATGATAAAGATGATTACGACTCTTTACAACATAAGAAATCGAGATCTGCAGAATTTTGATCGGTAAAGAAAGAGCGAGCTGCGGCCAATCAAGCGCAGGTTGCAGCTTATGAAATTGACTGATTTCAAAATTTAAAAGATAAAATTTTTTACTTGATTAAAAGGAACTAAAAAGACCTTAAAATAAAAAGAAAATAAAAACATAAAATTTTCAATTAAAAAAAATTTTAATCTGGTGGCGTATTTTACCTTTGAGTACCACTAACAGTGCCAGTTTCTGATACAAGCATCCTTCCACCTTTTATTACAAAAAAAGACATACAAAAATGAAAAAAAAATCCAAAAAACTTTTTTTGAAATTTGCATAATTTTTGAAATTATTTTTTTTCAGAATCGTAGTAGCTGAAGCTGAAAAGAAGAAAGGAAAACGACGTCGATCGAAGAGAAAAGTCATCACAGGATCAGTTTATCGGTGGAATAACAAAGCGCCTATCCCTTACACTTTCAGGGAGGAGGACAGTAAGTATTTGAAGTTATCTTACCAAGCTTTGTTATAACCTCCTATATAGCATAGTCTAACGTAGTCTTACTATAATTTTCTTTTAGTCTTACCACAGTTCTACCAAGTCTTACTATATGTTTTCCTAGCTTTATGCGTAGCTTTACGAAGGTTTAATTTAACATGCTCCTAGCTTTACTTTAACTTTAGCAAATATTATTGTAACCTTCTTCTAGCCTTACTATAGATTGCATCACCATGTCTTACTATCATCTTCTGGTACCTTTATTATATCTTTACTAACTCATACTATAACTTTATTTTAGCCTTATTGTAGCTTTACCCGTCTTATTATAACCATTTCTTAGCCTTGCGTTTTCTAGCTTACCATAGTCTTACTATAAATTAATTAATATTTTTTGTAGCTTCAAATTCTGTCAGCATTAATACAAACTTTTTAGAAAAATGGCGATTGTTGATAAAAGAAGGTTTGAAGCTATGGGAGCATGAAACTTGTCTTCGGTTTAAAGAAAATGGGCCTGGCAAGGATCGAATTCAATTTATCCGAGGGGGTGGATGTTATTCGAGTGTTGGGAGGACTGGAGGAGTTCAGAAGATTTCCATTGGCTTTGGATGTGAAGATGTAAGATTGTTTTTATTTTTTAAAAAGTTACGTTTAAATTTTTTTATTGTTCTTTGAAGATATTATATTACAGTATACTTTTGTTGTCTTACAGTATGGTTTTGTTGTTGAACACTGGAAGGGGAAGAGAGGGAGAACTAGTTTATTAAAAATCCTGTATATTATTATAGAAAGGAATAGTATCACACGAAGTAGGTCATTCTCTTGGCTTCTGGCATGAACAATCTCGGCCTGATCGAGACAAGTACATCAAGTTAGAAGGAGAATACATTGCCGGAGGCACTGAAGGAAACTTTGCCAAAAGAAGTGATTTAGAGAGCGATGGCATGGGGCTGCCTTATGATTTGGGGTCTGGTAAGATATTAATGTTACAAATCTTAACAATGTAAATATTTCAAAACTTACTGACAATGTAAATCTTGTAATATTTGTGAATTAGCATGTTTTTCAAATAATTCTGAGCCTTCTCTCAACGCAAATTTTTGGTGTTAGCAGCTCACAATTATTTGAACAACTTAACATTAAACCCGCCAAGAAGATGCTTTTTACAATTTACCCCGCCCGAACAACGTCATACATATATACTGCTAGGTTATATAATAGTAGTTTTTAGTAATGTAAAATACGAAATAAGATTTTTTTAAGTAAAAATTGATTTTTTAATTAAGATATACAACAGTTAGTATTATTTTGCGTATGACAGCCCTAAGGTGCAACTTATAAAATAAGCTAAAATAATGTTTTAGTGATGCACTATGGCCCAACAGCCTTTACTTTGGATTGGGATCATAACACGATAGTAACAAAAGACAAAAAGTACCAACATACAATTGGCCAAAGAGTAGGACCATCTTTCATCGATGTGAAACAGATCAACCGGCTTTATTGTTATCGTAAGTTAACCTTAACGTAGAAAATGCACAACCCCTCCTCTGATTGACTCCAAACTTTTTATATAGAAAGATCATGTAAATATAAGACTTTCAGCAAAGTACTAAATTCCAGTTTTTAGGAAATCCCGAAAAAACAAAAATAAAAAATTTTTTGACTTTCCCGCCAAATTGGCATTGTGTTTTAAGGTTATAACTTTGTCATTTTTTGACTTTTAATTATTTTTCGTTGATATACCAGTAGGAAATTTTAAAATGAACCTACAATTTTAAATTTGTAAGCATAGCTTGTCTGGAAACATGAAAAAAGTGATTGAAACACAATGCCAAATTTGCCAAATTTCCGGGAGATTCAAATATTTTATTTTTTATGGCGTTTTTTTATGTTTGTTTATTAAAAAGTAAAAAATACCTTCAGAAACATGTGTTGGAACGACAGTTCGGTGCGAGAACGGTGGTTATGCGGACCCAAACAACTGTAACAAGTGCAAATGCCCTCCAGGCTTGTCTGGACCTCATTGTAATCAAGTTGAGAAAGGTAATTTTTTTTATTTTTCTATATGAATTTCAAAACTTATAGTGAAAAATTTGTAAAATCGTATGACTTGTCTTACACAAATTTTTTTCTCCTCCCCCCCCTCCACAAAACAAAAGCTGTTAAAACAAAAATTAGACCCTATAATATCTATTTGCACAAGATATAAAATTTTTAATTTTTTTGTAAAATACGTCGATTGATCTAGTATGATGTTTTAACCAAGATTTATAGATTACGCCCTATGTGGTGGAGAGCTGCATGCTGACTCGAACTGGCAACACTTGACTCACAAAGGGAAGCAACGTTGTGTTTGGAGGATAAGTACCAAGAAAGCTAGGATTCGAGTTATTTTGGACAAGGCCAGCTATCAATGTCAAACTACATGCAAGTCGTATCTTGAAATCAAACACAATTCTGACTTTCAACAGGTCGGATTCAGAAGCTGGTAAGGGTTGTTGTGGGGTGTTTTTTGAGATGGTAAAATACGAAGCATATGCATTTTAAAACCAAATTGGGCTTTAGAAAAAAAAGAGAGGGATGAGGTTACCCTGCCAACATTTTATCGAAAAAAAAATTTTTTTTTGAAATTAGGATTACCCTGCCGGTACTTTATAATGCTATTGTTATCTATAAAAAATTATTCTACTATACCATCAAAGCCATGATCAATATCTTCAATACCTTTCAGTTGCGACGAAAAATCGATTGAAACAGTATCAGATCAAGAAGAACTGATAATAATCCACGATCCACTAGATCAATCATATGATGGATCGTTTACATTGAGGTATATCCGAGACTCAGGAGCACCTCTGCCCAAACCTCCACCTCCGGCATGGGTACCGGGCAGTGAGAACCGCTCCTTCCGCGGAGTCAGCGGAAAGGGCGGGGTAATCGAGAAGTTCATTCTCAACGCTCTGCCAAAGGTTAGGGACCCGAATCGACCGGTCGAAAGTGTCTTTTCTATCTTTACGGATTATGTTGCTTCGTCTTTCTTGGGCGCTAGTCGCGATGCAAAGTGATGTTGTTCTGAAAAGGTATAGGTTTTAAAATAGCATTTTATCGGTTTTTAGGCTTAAAATGGCATTTTTCGTCTGTTTTAGGCTTAAACTGGAATTTGTTGATATGTTATGGTTTAAAATGTCATTTTTTCGTATTTTAAGCCTAAAATGGGGTTTTGTGGTTTGTACTTACTTACTATGACATTTTATGCAACTTTTTGCTAAAAAATGCCATTTTTTAACAATATTAATTTGAAAATGCCATTTTGCTTACTATCCACGTCTTTCAAATCATTTTCTTACCGCAATATAAATAACGTGTACATACTCTATGCTTACTGTATAAAACTTGTGTCTTTCATACTTTACCTTAACCATGATTCTCAAATTTTATTAAACTCAATGTTGTTGTATACAAATCTTGTTAAACTTTAATAAATTTATTGCGTTAATTGTTTTGCTAGCGTATTTTATTATTAATTATTAATTTTAAAAAGAAGAAAAATTTAATTTTGTTACTTTCTATTCATAGCAAACTGACCATCCAATAATGCATAAAGAAAGTGCCCAATTCTGATTGACTTCAAACTTTTGTAGAAAGATCATGGAAATACATAAATGACAAAAAATGTGAAATGCATTTGAAGAGCTATAACTTAAAGATATTAAGCTACCCATTATTCACATCGATCGTACCTGATCGCTAAAAACAAGCACTGTCATAAAAGCTTTTGAAAATTAAAACTGTGATCAAATCCTTTAGTGTTAAACTGATTTTGATTGTAATGGCAAGAACTTTCTTTACAAAACATAAAATGACAAGAACTTTCTTTACAGAACATAAAATGGAAAGAACTTGGTTTACAAAACTTGAAATGGCAAGAACTTTCTTTACAAAACCTAAAATGGAAAGAACTTTCTTTACAAAACATAAAATGGCAAGAACTTTCTTTACAGAACATAAAATGGAAAGAACTTTGTTTACAAAACAAAAAATATAATCATCGTATTGTCACTCGCAGACTGCATAACAAAAAACATAGTATAAAAATATCAATAACTTTCTTTACAAAACAAAAAATGGCAAGAACGTGTCGGGCCTAGGCCTGCCTTGACCCAAATTTAAGTAGGGCCATGCCTGAAAATCAAGGTCCGCCTTGAACCGAAAGTCTGGCCCGTTTGCACGTAGTAAAATTTGGGCCTGAAATTCAATAATAAAATTTGAGACGGGCCTACCACTCACCCCGATCTCCATACATGGTGGGCAGAGAAGGGTAGCAAATAATGATAACGTACCTCAAGTAATTACTACGATACAATTTCAAAAAAAAAATTTGTTGCTCCGACTTTTCAAACCGCGTCTGTTTTAACTAATATTTTGAAGTTGCGTTGGTTTTGCGATTCTGTAAGGCTGTTTTCGCGTTCTTTTTTGCAATATATAACAATGTTTGGAAAGGCGGAATTCTTGATTTTATTCGATTGATTATTACGGTAGTCTGCCCAGGATTGGGAAAGGGGGAACGGCGGATTTTTTTCAGATTTTCAATTTGGAGGGGGGGAGGGGGGTGCTTCGCGGGCAAGGATTTTTTATATTTCTTCAAAACTTGGGCTATTGCAACGAAAAATTTAGTTGTAAGGGCTGGGTAGGTTTTTTTTATTTTGTAGGTAAGCCTAATCTCTTTTTTGTTTTTCTTCTTCTTCCTCTACTTCTTCTTCTTCTTCTTTTTCTTCCTCTTCTTCACCATTTTCTTCTCTTTCTTCCTCTTTTTCTTCTTTATCTTCTTCTTTTTCCTCCTCTTCGTCTCTTTTTTCTTCTTCCTCCTCTTCTTTTTCTTCCTCTTCTTCTCCATTTTCTTCTTTTTCTTCCTCTTTTTCTCCATCTTCTTCTCCTTCTCCTTCTTCCTCTTTTTCTTCTTCTCCATCTTCTTCTTCCTCTTCTTCTTTTTCTTCTTCTTCCTCTTCTTTTTCTTCTTCTTCTCCATCTTCTTCCCCTTCTTCCTCTTTTTCTTTTTTTCCTCTTCTTTTTCTTCTTTTTCTTCTCCATCTTCTTCTTCCTCTTCTTCTTCTTGCTCTTCTTCTTCTTCTTCTTCTCATCTCCTCCGGGACCTTCTACCTGAAAGCCCAGTCCCACAAATGCACCACCTTGAACCGAAATCTCAGTTTGATCGGCGAAAAACTCGATCAAACCAAGAGCCCAGCCAAAATAGTACATTTTGGTCTGGTCGCGCGCCGCCACCGCTCCAAAAACTATCACGACTCCAAATGTGGTTCACTACCAATCCCTTTCTACTCATCCGGTTATCAGACGGTGTATTAAGCTGCTTTCTGAAGGCAGCGCCAAGGACACCTTTAACCGAGATCAAGACATGGGAATTGGAGGTATAGACACATTGAAGTCGTAATTTGTTTTTGGAGCGCGCACCACCCCTCCCCGTGCTTAGCGACTCCAGAAGGTTTACTAAGATCTAGACTTTTGGTCGTTTTTCATTGAGATGACCCGCCCTTGGAGCAGGGTGTACTCAAAGATCGTAGAACTACCTTTTTGGACCAAAAATGCAAATTTTTGAACGAAAATAAGTGACAGTTCTACGCCGACCTTATTCTAGACTAAAGTAGTTCTTCTGGTTCCCTAGGGACTTACCTTATTGTTCCTCCTCATCCGTGCTTCTTCCCCATCTGCGCATCTCCATCGGTGCTTCTCCATCTGCGCCTCTCCATCGGTGCTTCTTCTCCATCGTGCTTCTACTGTGCCGCCCGCAGGATCAGGGGGTGGGGGCGTTTATAGGATGTAGGGAAAAGGGCCAGCAGCGGAAAGTAAACATTAAGCGGTTGAATTTTTGAAAAAACTCTCCCTTGCCTAAATATTTTGATGGGTTAGGGAAGGAGAATCCACCCCTGCTTGAATATTCTTGCTGAGTGGGGAGGAGAATTCACCCTATATCAGTGTTTTGAATTAGTGGGATAGGAGGATCCATGCCCGCTTTAATATTACTGCTGGGTTGGGGAGGAGAATCCACCTCTGCCTAAATATTTCGGTAAGTAGGGGAAACCTAAACTATTTATTTATCAGTTATGGGGAGGAGAATCCACCCTGCCTAATTTTTTTTATAATAGAAGGAGGAGAATCTACCTCTGGCTAAATATTTTGATGAGTGGGGGTGGGAAATTTACACCTACCACAATTTTTTGAGAGTTGGGATGGAGAATCCACGACTGTCTAAAACCATTCATAAGTGTGGGAGGAGAATCTACCCCTGCCTAATTTTTTTTAACAAATTCCCCAATTTATTTTTTACCAATTTAATTTCTACCCCTTTACTTAAAAAACATTATAATTATAACCTAATCTTTAATACTAATTGCATCACCTTGCCTTAACTTCTACCTTTTTCCTTATAGGATAATATAAAAAATTTTGACCTATGATTATATAAAAGTAACTATCTATATAACTAGCTAGAACAAACATATGGGGAGGAGAATCCCCCCCCTGTCTGGTACTCTCTCCTTTAAGAAACTTTTTAAAACTATTCTATTACTATATAACTCTTACCTGATAATGGTCCATCAAGGTGATCATCAATGGTTAGGTACCATTAGGTCCATTTGTAGTCACCTTACTGTAAGGCCAATTGTAGTACAAATGAAAAATTTGAGTACTAATATTTAGCATCGTGCAGCGTTTTTTACGCCATAAGCGTTATTTTCAAAAGTTAAATAAGCACGAAAAACAGTTTGTGCACGTTGCGTAAGTATATGCGCAAGTTGTGCTATTTAGCATTATGTTCATTTGTGTATCGTATACTGTTATTTTACGACAACCGCCCCCAGACCAAAAGTGCCCGCAATTTTTTTATGGGTACTATTGGTAGTAAAAAGAATACATAACAAAATTTTGATTTGATACCCTTAAAACACTATGCCAATTTGGCGGGAAATTCAAAACATAATTTTTGTTCTTGATTTTCTCAAGGTTGACTGGAAAGCACAGTATAGTATTACGCTGAAGACATCATATTTACTCAATTTTTCAATATAATTTGTTTGAATTCAATCATAGCAGGGCAGGTCGAACACTTTTCTTGTAAATTCTAAAATTTCTTGATAACATGCCAAAGTATGATATCCAGCACGTTATATACTTCCTACTTGAACCATTTGTCATTCTTTTTATAAACAAATGTGTTTCAATTCCGACTTGTTTGGTTGTTAATCCGAAGCGAAACGGAACAGAACGGCATTATTCGGAGATTCAAATTCCAAAAAATGACAAATGTAATGGAGATTTATTCGTATCCGAAGCAACTTACTGTCCACTCCAGGTTTTTACTCTATTTTGTTTTTTTTTTATTTTTTGGGATTTGGGTTTGAGTTTTAGAGTTAAAATGACAAGAACTTTGTTTACAAAAGTCAAAAATGGTAAGAACTTTTTTTTACAAAGGAAATGGCGGATATTTTTTCGAAATTTAGATAAATTTTGAGATTTTGATCAATTTATTTACAAAATCCAAAATAATTTTTTTTCAAATAGGGAATGTTATCCATCGTATAACTTGTCACCTTCAGGCTGCAAAATTTAATTTTTAAGTTTGTTTTTTAAATGGCATTAAATTTAGTTTTAGGTAATAAAATGACAAGAATTTTGCAAAACTGAAGGTTATTACTCATTTCGTATAACTTGTCACCTGCAAGCTGCAAAACACTAATTTTTTTTGATTTAATCTAGCACTTCTCAATAACTTTCTTTACAAAGCAAAAATTGACAAGCACTTTACTTCCGCTACCTATAATTTCAAAATCTATCAAATTTTCTTTGTCTAATGCCTTTTATTACCCACTTTACTATAGTTAGTGTAATATACATACAACGTACGTTGTAAATGATCATCTATCGCAAAAAAACCGGGTGGGAAAATATATTTTATTGAACGCCGCAGGTGGTTTAATTGTATTTTTTCACTTTCTACGCCCAAAACTTTCGATTCTTCCGCGTGCGGTAAAAAATGTCCTTTGTCATCACTGTCACCGACCGATTATTAGTCATTTTTCGGGCGTTTTGAGGTTCAGTGAAGGGTTTTGAAAAAGTGTGGATTGCTGGATTGTCTTTTTTTTTAACTTTTCGATTTTTTTAATTTAAAATTTTAAAGTTTCATATGTATTTAGTGGCTTTTAATCAGGTTTTGTAAAAAAATAAAATTTTGGAAGTTTTTGGTTTTTTGTTATGATAAAATTACGATAAGAGTGAAAAATTTAAGTTGTCATATCGTTTGACCGACTTGACAAAAACAGATTCTGATTTGTCGATATACGTTTTTGGGCTTACAAGGAAAGTAACTGTTCCGCTTTATTAAACTTTTTGAAATTTTTTAAATAGATAAACCATGTGAACATAACCCCTTCAGTTAGAAAAACGGCCGGGCCTAACATTCAGGCCAGGCTCGTTTGTCATGTCTACCTTTAGCAAAGTACTGAATTGCACCTTCCAGTTAACCGAAAAAAGTGCTTGAAACACAATGCCAAATTTTTCAAATTGGCGGGAGTCTCAAATATTTGGATTTTAAAACTGAAAAGTGAGAGATAGAAGTTTTATAAGTACCATCGGTGGCACAAAGAAGTTATTTTAGGTTGAACCAAAAGTAGCGGGACACTTTTCATTGAATAATAAATGGAATGTGTGCCGCTACTTTTGGTTTAGCCTATTATAAAATGTTTGAGCTAATTCTGAGCGGGGCAGGTTGGGCACAGTTCCTGTTAGGTTGTTTTTGCTTATTACAACGATGTATGCCATTCGCCTAAAGCCGGCTTTTTATACGAAAAATTAGTTCTGCAGCCTGCGGGTAACAAGTTATACAATATACTTTACATATTTTTTAATTATTGGCCTTGCCTTGATAACATTGACCAGAGGAACAATGTATATTTTTTATTAAAAAATTTTCTTTATGTAAAAAAGTTAATGCTATTTCGGTTTGAAATCTTTTTTTGGCTATTTCATTCAATATTTGCCTTTTATTTAAAAAATTTTTTTTTCTATTAGGTTGTTCAAAAAATCCGGTGCCCTTCTCAAAGCAAACTCTCCAGATTAGGTAACACATAATTATTTGAACAGCCTAATATTTCACTCAAAATTTATCTTTTACTTATCGCTTTTTTTAAAATTTATCAATATTAAATAATTTTAATTACTGGAAGTACTCAGCCGTATTTTACTTTTCCAAATCTTCCCCCTTTTCCAAAATGACATATAAATTCAAAAATAAAACCAATTTTATGCGCCTCCAAATTTGGAAAGTGAACTTTGTTTGTTCAGCTTTCGCATCGGATTCGCTTCATCGTTTACAATATTATAATACATTAAGCAGTAAGTTAAGGGCGAAAGGTAAACAGTACTTGTTTTCACTCGCTTTTACTTGCTTTTTGGTTTTTACTGGGCTTGTAAACAAAGTTGTTGCGTTTTATTGAAATTGGCAGGTTTTTTTGGGGGTGCAGACTGCGGAAGACATTTTATACGATAGACTGTGTTTTTCACTTTTGTAAAGAAAGTTTGCTATTTTGAAGTTTGTAAAGAAAGTTTTTGTCATTTTGAAGGTTGTAAAGAAAGTTCTTGCTATTTTAAAGTTTGTAAAGAAAGTTATTGCTATTTTTTACATCAATTAAAAAAAATTATGTTATGCAGCCTGCGAGTGAGAAGTTATACAAAAGGAATGTCATTTTTAGCCTGTGTAAAGAAAGTTCTTGCCGTCTTTATAATTTTTAAAATTTTTTTAACTTAAGTTTTTTTGCGAGATTTGCTAATAAAATACGAAGGAAACTCTTCCTTTTTCATAATGTAAAGAAAGTTTCTTCCGAAAAACATCAAAAATGCCTCAGAAGCGTGTTTCGTCATAACCGAACCGCCGGCAGTACGAACAATACAGAGATACCATCATTGGCATTCGAACCTCTTTCGAGGGTCTTTCTTTGGATTGGGAAAAACAAACTCATGCCACTGAGCTACAGCGACACGGCTCTTTTATTTTGGATAGAGGTAGTATAATATTGGAAAAAGGGAGTTACGCAAGATGGCATGACCCTCCTTAGATGTCATTGTAACTTTTGAAAAAAATTGCTTTTTTGAAAAAAGTATGAAACTTGGGCGTATTTTACTATATTTTGGCCCTAAAAGTGACAAATATTATACAAATCTTGAACATGACTTTTTCTAAATTTAAAATTTTTTTGAAAATTAGATTTTTTAAATTGTAAAATACGGCAAAGACATATGACACATGTCGTTCAGCCTGAGTATTTGTATATATAAGTATATATATACATACTAATAGAACACGTTGTTTTGACGTCATGTTAGAGTAGTAAAAAGAACATATGGTCAATTTGTCTATTTTAAACTGTCAAAACATTATTTTAGAAACTTAGTATGTTTGTTTATTCTTATTTGCGGTTTTGTCATTTTGGTTTCAAAAAATGGGGATGACTTTCTTTACAACATATAATAATATAAGTATCGAAACCACAAAATCTAAGTTTGATTATTTTTTAAATTTATGTTGGTGGAGACTACGTATTTTACTAAACTTTTTAAAGGCAAAGTGTATATCTAAAACAAGGGTAGGGCAGGGTAAAGTAGGGTAGACGGCATTATAAAAATAAAGTTTTGCTTCTTGCTTACAGATAACAAGTTATACGATGGACAAAGGATAATGTTTTGCATCTTTGGTAGGGTAGAAAAGGGTAACGCAAGAGTGGAGAATTATTAGGACATGGGCAGGACAAGTGTAGAGCATGAGTAAGTCCAGAGTTGAGCATGGGTTGGGCAAAGGCAAATGCAAAAGGGTGAGGTAAAATAGGATAAACGGCATTTTTAAAAATTAATGTTAATTTGTGTACCTATAAAAGTACAATTGATTTTAAACTGTTCTTGATTAGTCGAATTAAACTGGCGCGGCAACCTTGAATTTTGAAAGTTTTTTTTAGTTTTCACCTCGTTTTAGTAGCTTGAGGCGATTTGACTGTTGAAAAGTTTTAATTTGTAAAATTGTGTTTTTGATCTTGTAAACAAAGTTCTTGCCATTTTATGACTATTTTATTACTACATTATGATTTTTTGTTTTGTAAAGAAAGTTCTTGCTATTTTTTGTTTTGTAAAGAAAGTCCTTGCCAATCAAGATAACAAAGGTTGATTCTTGCCTTACCCTAATTTGAATAAATTAATGGAATGTAAAACCGGGTATTCGAATATTTAATGTGCCGTGAATGCTTCTGAATTCGAATACGGATATCCAAAATGTCATTTTTTTGGGATTCTGATGGGAAGAGTAGTTCACGGTTTAAACTTGTTTTCTGATTTTTGGAAAGAAAGTTTTCGCTATTTTTTGTTGTAAAGAAAGTTTTTGCCGTTTTTAGTTTTGTAAAGAAAGTTATTGTCATTACTTGTCTTTTAAAGAAAGTTCTTGCCATTTTAGGTTTTGTAAAGAAAGTTCTTGCCATTTTTTGTTCTGTAAAGAAAGTTATTGCCGTTTTTTCACAAATTTCTAAACAGGCAAATAAATTTATTCGAAACTCCCGAATAAAACCGCGTGAAAACAAAGTTTCCGACCGGTAATTATTTATGCGGCATTCTTTTTCGAACAGTCTCTTCTTTGTTCTATTGTAATATCCCATTTCCGCAACTTTTATTGCGCCAAAACACGTTTTTATATAAATATTTGGTCGTAAATGATTGAGATATTAAAAATTTTAAAAAATTTTGTGATTTTGTTTTTTTTTTCATTTTTTGCACGGTGCAACCAATTTTTGGATTGCACGGTGCAGGCAATCTTTTAAATTTTACTGTGCCATTCTTTTTAATGCTATCAAAGCAAAGACGGTTTCAATAGGTGTTTATTAATCTACACTATCAGTCATGACAATATTTGTTACCTAAAATAATTTTAAAATTGCACAGTGCAAGAAGCAAAGTTTGTGGCACGGTGCAAAAAATTGAAATATTGCACGGTGCAACGAATATTTACGTAGGGTAGGGTAGGGTCGTTTTTAGAATTTTTTGCTAGTTTGGATGTGTAAAGAAAGTTCTCGTCTTTTTTTTAAAAAAAATATGTTTTTATCGTATCAAAATAAAATTTTAAATTTATAAAGCTAGCTTTAAAAAACCGTCTGTGGTTTTATAAAATGGTTGATTCAGACATCAAGGAAGAGGATTTTGTATTCGAATTCAAACTTTTTTGAATTCAAATACAAAGATGAATAGACTTTTACTTTTGAAGTCAAACGTTGTCATATTTTTATAAACTGGAAAGAAAGTTTTTTCGATTTTTGTTTTTGAATAAGTTATAGTTTTTGTACTGGAAATAAAGCTTTTTTATGGTTTTTGATTTTTTTAAAATTTTTTTTTATGTAAAAAAAAGTTTTTTCTATTTTCGGTTAAAATTTTAAAAATATTTTGTAGTTTCTACTGTAAAGAAAGTTATTGCGGTTAAAATATTTTTTTTTAATTTTAAAATTTTTCTTTTGATAGTAAAAACTTTTTTTACAAAAAAATTTAAAAAAATGTAAAATTTTGTTTTTTTATAAAAATAGCAAGAACTTTCTTCACAAACTAAAAAATTACAAAAACTTTGTTTAAAAATCAAAACTTGACAAAAACTTTCTTTACAAAGCAAAAAATAGCAAGAATTTTCTTTACAAGCCTCGAAAAACTATTTTTCCCAAATTTAAATTTGAATGTGCCATTGGCAGCCGGCTGGCAGTTTATTGGAACGGCTCATCCAGATGGATAACATAAAAGATCCGGTTTTGTGAGTAATTAACAAAAAGGCATTTCATTGCAAAGGTAAAACGATTGTTTTGCATGACAACCGTTTTTTGACTTGTTTTAAATTTTCAAGTCACTTTTATGACTAAATTTAAATACTTTTTTATTTATTTGGGGGTGACAATTGGCCTGTCATATTTTGACTCTGGTCTTAATTTTGATTCTGATCTAGACTTTACGAGGGTGTATATTGTCCTAAAGGTAGAGTTGAACCACAATGAAAGGTTATAAGATTTACCTTCAACGGAAAATCATCATTACATATGTAGCTTATAATGAAAGTCGACTGTTTTTGATTTTTTTTTATTGAAGATTGTCCTGAATAATATTGTTTATTATTTTTCAAAAATATTTTATAGTACAACACGCTTTTTTCATACAGGATGTTTTGGCTAATGTTATTGTTTTGCCTTTTATTTACGTTCCGGTATATTTTGAAAGATTCTGACTAGAGTTATGTAGGTGACTGTGGATAGGACAAGACTTGATTTCTAAGAAAAGGGAAGGGGTCAATCACTGGCAAGGTGATGTATTTTGTTTTACAGCACTCTCTCTAGATAAGCAACCTGAAGGGACCGACACTTTTTGTTTACTACAGGGGGTGTTGTTTTTACAGAATGATTTTTAGTGCAAATTGAATTTTCGGGGCCAAATTTCTTGTTTACAGTAAAGAAAGCTTATACAGATGGTTCACTATATAGAGAGACCACTGTATTTTAAATTTGAGCCATGATTAGTGTTTGCATTTTTGAATTTTCTAGATTTCGTTTTGAGCTTTTTTTCAAATTTTGGTTTGCTTCTAGCTTTGTAACAAGCTCCAAAGCTCATTCAAAGACTGCTCGTGGTTATGGCTTAAAATTTATATTAAATTGTGAAAATTTGTTATTTAGTCTGCTCATTAAATTTTGGGATTTTCAGTTTTTTGCAGACTTTTTATATATGTTTCAAAAAGCAGATCATATTGATATTTATGACATCTAAACCTTTTCTTTTTACAAAAAACTAACTTCATCGTATTTTACATTCTACGCGCTTTTTTTACTTTTTCATAACGCGTATATAGAGTTTAATATTACCAAAATTTTTTTAGAAGATTCGTGAAATTTTACATTGTAAAACGATGTAGGTCGTTAGACTTATCTACACGTATTGTCTTTCTAAAATAGAAGGATCTACACTACTTTCTACATTACTTTCTGCGAGCCAACACATTGCACAAGTAGCAGAAGGCACTGTTAACGTACTTTATCTTCAAAATTCTACACTTTCTTTCTACTGTGACTATTACACCCACTGTAAAGATAATATTGTAACTATTACAACTATTATAACTACTACAACTGACTTTCAAGTACTCTAATTTTACTCCTACAGTTTTTACTTTTAAAGTTCGCCACTTTTTTAATACTGCAACTATAAGAACTACTGTGACTACAAAAACCGGCTTTCAAGTACTGCAGCTTGAGTACTACTGTATAACTACCTATTTTTTATTTATAGAAATACCTAAATTTTAAAAATATTTTTTTGAAATTTAAAGAAGATGTCGTGTATATCATCGCCCGAGCCTCTGGGGGTGATTCAAACCGTGTTGTTGCGGCGATTAAACGACGAAGATGGTCAGTCTAATAGCTCCGACCGAAGTTCAGGTAAGACAACATGTTCGTATGGGTTTGTTTTACTTTGGTATGTCTGTTCAGTATTTATATATCTGTTGACATACTTTCTTACTCTCCTTCTATTACGGTAGGTACTTCAGTCGTGATGTTTAGACGTCTTTTCAGTAGCCTTACCTGTGTCTGCCTTAAAGTTCTTCTGTTGTTGTAGGTATCTCAGTTGTCTCTGCAGTAGATGTCAGTCAGTAATTCCCTCCGGTAAATCTAGGTATCTCTCTTCAATAGCTTCGTATGTCTTTTTGGTTTCATTTAATGAGCGGTTTCAGCAGATTTTCCTTTGACTCGGTCGATTACTCTGAAAGGGATACGACAATGGGAAAGGAAAAATGTTGTTGTACATGGCTTGTTGACACTTTCTCCTCTTTTTTCTACGAAATTTCAGTCTAATTTGGCAGTTTTATTGCTTGTAAAGATAGTTCTGGCTATTTTTTGTTTCGTAAAGAAAGGTTTTACGATTTTAAGTTATGTAAAGAAAGTTCTTGCCATTTTTGTTTTGTAAACGAAGTTTTTGCCATTTTCTGTTTTGTAAAGAAAGTTCTTGCCATTTTATGTCTGTTAAAGAAATTCCTTCTCATTTTCTGCTCTGTAAAGAAAGTTTTTGTCATTTTTTAAGAAAAAACAAAAAATTAACGTTTTGCAGTCTGCGGGTGACAAGTTATACGACAAATAGCATTCTGAGTTCTGAATGTAACCTTCTTGCCATTTTCTGTTTTGTAAAGAAAATTTTTGCCATTTTAATTAAAAATTTGTAATTTTGAGTAAAATACGTCAGGTGACCTTTTTTAACATAATGATTTCAGAATCCAGTTTACCACGATCTCGTCGAAAACCAATGAATCTCGGCTTCAGCATCGTTGGAGGTATCGACTCTCCCAAAGGGCCAATGCCAATTTACGTAAAAACTATATTTCCAAATGGCATTGCAGCCAAAAGTGGATTGCTACACAAAGGTAGGTGAATGTAAAAATAAATTTTTTATTTTTTTTAATTTGAAATTTTTTAAAACTTCAACATTTAAATTTTAAAAAAAATTTAAAATTCGATTTTTCAAAAAAGAATTGAAAATTTAGGTGTGAAATTTCAAAGAGTTCCAAATTTTAAAGTTAAAACCAGGAAAAAAAGTTTTGTTTATTCTCTTTTGAACCCCGCAGGCATTCAAAAACATCTCAAAGTTAACACTTTGAGGATTAAACGACTCGTATTGTTTATAGGAACGGCTTGCCAAACTTTTTTATTACTTTTTTATACACTTATATATTTATTTAACGTTTAGTACATCTGATAGTACATTACAATTATAGTTGGCACTAAATTTTTATGTTTTTTGGTTCCACAACGAAAACCTTGAAAACTTATTTTTTACGTAAGAAGAGCCGAGCTGTCGATAATTTTTAAAATTTAAATTTTTGAGATAAAAGGAAGCCTATTTTTGTATTTTACAATAAATTTATGTGAGAAATTTGTCACATTTGGGTCCCACAACGAAAACTCTTTTTATGTAAAAAAATTTATGTTTTATCGCTTTGTTGTGATATTAACCCATAAAAGTGATAGTAAGGAAGCGATAGTAGTCAGGCTAAGGTAAATTTTGTCTTTAAAATAATCTTTTTTGGTAAAAGTCAGTATTTTTGTCATTATGACATATTTTATGACAAAAGTCGTTTGGTCAACTACTTTTTCGGCCAAAACTTATTGCCAGCGGCAAGAAACGGCCGAACGTTCAAATCTTTTGTTTTTGTGAGAACGCAGACTTATTGTTTGTGTTAGTTGAACCATAATTAGTCTACCGTTCTTTCATCTGAATAATCGAGTAGTGACACTTTTGAAACAACCATTGTCACTTATTTTGGTCTTCTTGTGACATCGAGTAACTTTCGGTGAATGTAAAATACGGCAATCGGTTGCTTATAGATACTTTTTTCGGTTTTTCATTTTTTAAAATTTTTTTTAGATAAAAAATTTTTTAATTTTTAAAATTTTTGAAAAGTTGAATAAAAACCAAAAAAATGTTAAAACTCATGTTTCAGGTGACGAGATTGTGGCTTTGAACGGAGTTTCCTTCGCCGGATTCACTCACGCGCAAGCCTTGGACCAATTCAAAGGGCTGGACAAGCACAGTGATGTCGTCCTGAACATTCGACGCAATTGGCCTAGACCCACACTGGAAAGGTTTGTCAGATCCTACCCTGCCCTACCCTACCCTACCCTACCCTACGCTACCCTACCCTACCCAACCCTGCCTTATCTTCTCTAGCTTACACTATCCCTTTGTGTTTGGTCTCAGTGTATGTATCTTATCCTACCTTATCGTCTTACACTACTTGATCTTACTGTACTCTATCCTACTGTACCCTATTTTAATTTACCCTATATTACTTTACCCTATCTTATTGAAAACCATACTCTATCCTATCTGACTCTATTCTACGGTACTTGATTTTACTATAGTTTACCATACCTTACCCTAACCTGCTTGACTATTATATTGTGCTTTACTGTATCAAAAACCATTTTTTAACTCAAAAATCTTATTTCAGGACTTCCGAATTTATGAGAGTGGCAGACTTTGAACGGCCCTTTACGGAACGTTCTTTGGTGCCAATCGTTCAACGCCGTGCCAGTTCAGCCGAAGATTTACGGTTTTTGCATTGGAAACAGCGACGAGAGAACGGTGAAGTCAAAAGAGACAAAAACTGCAATGTAAGTCAACTACAAGCATGATTTTTTACTTTTCGAACTTATTTTATACCTAAAATTAGCAATATAGGCTTGTTTTTACTAAAAGTCTAGATTTATAATTCTGCAGCCAGCGGTCTAACAATTTTTCTCGGACGCAGACTGCGGGAAATTTATATTTAAAAAAAATGGTTTTTAAACAAAATTATAATGTAAAATACGTCAAAGAATTTTTTTGCTATTTTATAATTACTATTCATAAGTAACATATACGTAAAACTTGTACAAGTATGAACATATCAAGATTAATGTTGTCGTATGACACGTTATGCCGAATACCATTTATCGTACATTAAAAATGCATGAAATGAGTCGCCAAAGGGGTTAAAAGTACACTTTTCTTACTCAAAATCCTTTACTTTTTATGTTTTAAAGTTGCAATAAATTCATTATTCTTTGGTCTAGCAAACTCTAGATGGTCTAGTAGTACTTTTGGTACTTACTACGATATGCACGTTGTGGTATGTTTTACTATTTTGAAGAAAATGTTAAAATTTATTTTTACGAAGTCAAATTTACTTTTTCTGCTGTATTTTTTTCTTTTGGTGCTTTATTTGACAAAATGCTTGAAAATCAGGGTTTTCGTGGTGGGACCAATTTTAGATTTTTTTGTAATAATACGGAGCAAATAATTTTGCATTATAATAATGACAAATCCACTTTTCGTATTTTACAACTATAATACTTTTCGATCAGTTTTAAAGCAAAGAATTAAAAATTAAGGTTTTCGTGGTGGGACCAAAAGCTTAATTTTTATGAAGATTTTGCTAAATTTTTATATGTCGTATTTTACAATATTTAGAAGTTGCCAACCTCTTTAATTTAAAAATTTTTAAAATCAGGGTTTTCGTGGTAAGACCAAAAAGTCAAAGCCAAGTTTTTTTAAAACAGCTGTAAAATAACATTACTATCACAATACAGACTCCTACTACTATGAACATACTTTTCCGATCTTTGTTCGTATAAAGACCGAGGATAACATGTTGATGTTTACATAGTCAGCTGATGGTATTATAAATATTAATATGTGGTGGATTGACAAACAAAACCATTACATTGTAATACTAACCTATATACAAAATGGCTTTATATATACGTTTTTGGGCTTTGTGTAACGTTTCTGTTGGTTTTTGGGGATGGGTTGGATAAAGAATAGCAGTTTTTGTAAATCTGAAATTTTTTAAATTTCAAAATCTTTAAAAATTTTAAATTTTAACATTTTAGAACGTCATTTTACGTACCAAACGCCAGCTGGTGAAGAAGGTTTTAAAGTCTCCAGCTAAAATGGCACATGCTAAACTCATTTTGAAACGCAAATCCATGAATCAAAGGCTTGGCATTGGGATTGCCATCGAAACTAATGATCTTACCGACCGGTAAGTTTATATTTTACACGATTCGTATACAACTACGTATTTTACAAAACAAATTATTAACAGGTAGGGCAAAGTAAAGCAAGGAAAGACAGATTAAATTATCTTAGACTGAGGAAGAGTAAGTTAGAGCAATTTATTCTTGTAGAGTACGGTAGCGCAAGGTAGGGTAGGGTAGGGTAGGGTAGGGTTGGTAAAGCACTATATTCCTTTCTACTATCATATGTTATTACGTATGTTACAGTGTGGTATCAGTCCGAGTAGAGCAAATAGAAGACAATTCAGTAGCTCAATCTTCTGGACTCGAACCTGGAGATCGTATTTTAGAAGTAGACGGTCAAGAAGTTCATGAATGTAATAGAGAAGAGTGTCTGAGCTTGTTTCAGAACGCTCGACTTCAATGTACTTTGATTATTTTACCTGGACAATTGTAAGTAGTAGTAAAATATTTAATTTTATGTAAAATACGTTGTACCACTTATTAAAATTTTTTTTCAAAGTTATTAAATTTGAATATCGTTACTATTTTAGTGTTGATGCGATGCATCGTATGAATAGATCAGGGAAGGAAGGGCGATATGGTTATCATAATAATGGTAGGTTTAAGTTATTTACGCTTTTTCTACATTTAAAAGAAAAAAAAACTGTTTTTGAATTTTGTTTTTTAAAGTTGAATTTTTTTCTGAATTTTATTTTATTTTGACTTTTTTCATTTTGCAATCTTCGAAACATATAAAAAGTGAATTTCTTTGAAAACCCTTGACTTGTTTTCGAACACTTACAATATTTTATAAGTGCGACGTTTGCGGCAAATGACATAAATACACAATTAATAAGTGTTGTTGTGTTTCCTTTTCCGGCGAAAAGGAAAATGGGGTTATAGAAAGTGACTAAAATATGGTTACTGTGTTTTTCTTACAGAAACTAGTCTTGTGATACATACTTTTGACAGCCTGGTACTGTAACTTCGATTGTACTAAAAGTAGATTTTGTAATTCTAAGATTTAGTATGGAACTGATTTTGTTTTACATTTAGTGCTGTTTTTCAACACTGCCGTGCTATATAGTACTTCTAACTTATTGTACCAATGTCTATGTGCTACGTAGTACTTTCAAATCGTGCTATAGAGTACTTTCAAATATATAAGTATATAAGTGATGTATTATATTTAGTACCATCTATTCATACTGTTGAGTATTAATCTCTTTGTACTATATAGTACGCCCAACTTATAGTATTTAGTAAAAAACTGCTATTTTATGATATATAGTGCCATTTAGTCATACTACTGAGTATCAAATTTTTGTGCCCTATATAGTACATCTATCTCATACTATTCAGTAAGAAACCACTTTCTCTTCCTTCTCCTTTTCTTTTCTCTTCTCCCCCCCCTTCTTTACTACATAGTATGAAAGCAAAGTAATTTCGAATAAACAAATCTCTCCTCTTTACTGTGGTAATCCCTCACAATTCCTTTGACCAGACGGCTTCCAATTATTTATTTTTACACAAAAATTATTTGTTTTTCCAAATTTTTACACTAAACACCAGTCATCTTCAAGGAAAGGGAAGGGGGAGGGTGGAGAGGGTGGATGAAGGTGAATATGGTGATTAGGAGTGGCATATGAGGCCTAATTTTGATACTTTTGGGGTTAGATTTTGAGGGGGGGGGGTATTTAGAGTTAAAAGGAGGGGGGGGGGTGGGATGGTTAGAAAAAAAAATTGTTTGATTGGGGATAGGAGAGGTGTTACTATAAAACTCTTTGGAAAAAAAATTTTGGAGAGAACACCCCCTCCCTCTCCTCAAGTATTTTACGACATATATCAATACTAACAGCTCATATTAATAGGTTGTTCAAATAATTCTGTGCCCTTAAACTCAAAAATTTGCCTTGAGACACAGAATTATTTGAGCAACCTTTTTTTATATATATACTATAACAAAAGTCCACATTACTACTTAAACTTCAATTCCCAACCCACTTTTTCTCTCCCACTCTCTTTATTTCGTCTGATCTCTTCGCTTTCATCCAATTTGATTAATCCAAATTAACCTTGTTTTTCTCGTCAGAGCTGGAATATATGAGGACGGATCGGAATAAATCATCTACATATCGCTTTATAATAATATCCCACGAAAAGAGTGTGCCGATTGAAGAGAGTGGCGAGAGACAAAGAGAAATGAAACCGTTTTATGCCGTTTTGTCGTCATAAACGCCCAAATAAAAAGTTTTGGAGGAGGGATTTAAATTGAATATTGTTTCTAATTTGTACATTTTATGGTTTTCAAAAATGGGATTTGAGAGAGGTTTTGGGAGTGGGGTAGGAGACAGACTAGGGGTAGTAGACATGAGAAACGGGCCGGGCCGGACTTAATTTTCAGGCCCGGCCCGATCAAAATTTTGCTCAGGTTCGGCGCGTTCTTCACAGACATGAGAAACGGGCCTGGCCAGCCTTGAGCAACATGTCAATCAAGCCGGGCTTGAAAAATGAGCCGGGCCCTGCCCGTTCTCAAGTAAAAAAATTGGATCTGGCCCGGCCCGTTTCTCATATCTATGGTTGAAAAACTGGGCTTGTAGGCTCATCCTGCCTTTATGATCATGCTCGGCCGGCCTTGAGCTGAGCTTGAAACGGGTTTAATCTAGGAAGGAATGTTGGCGTGCCGTTCTTGAAAATTAGGCTTGGTCCCAAAAAAAATAAGAAAAAATTTAAAATTAAAAAAAAATTTTTTTTAATTTTTTTTTAATTTTCAATTATCGTTTGATTTTTTGGGTACCACAATCTATAATGGTTTAAAAAAAATGCCAAGCAAACTTTTTTTTATTTTTTTGAAAACTAGTTTTGAAATTTAAAATTTTTCAAAAATTTTTTATTATTATTTTTTTTTATATTTATGTATGTTTTTTGATTTTTTTGGGTACTATAATTGATAAATAATCTAAAAAAATAATACAAAGCAAAATTTTTCTTATTTTTTAAATTTTAAAATTTAATTTTCTTTAAAACTGGTTATGCCAGGCTGGGCTTAAGATTTTATGTGGCCCATTTCGGCCTGAGAAAAGATATAAACGGGCCGGGCTTTAACTTCGGAAGACAAAAGATCAATTTTTAACTTTCATTTTAGTTAAAAAAATTTTTAGTTTTTTTTAAATTTTTTAAAATTTTTGAGATATTTTTCCGAAATTTTTTGATTTTTTTAAAATTTTTAAAAATTTTTTGATTTTTTTAAATTTTTTTTATTACATTTAATTTTTTATATTTGGCGCTAATTCTGTACCAACTGCTAAAAATTGAAGTTACTGCCTTTCATGATACCTAAATTTGCCTTTCTTCTCATAATTTCCACAAACTTTCTAATCACTTTCCTTGTAACCCTGACATAACTCTTTCAGTTCTTGTAACCCTGACATTACCATCATATAATATCTTGCATTGTAATTGAACATCTGAAATTACTCCGTAACGATAGCCATTTAGAGGCGCGATTCGTTACGTCGTTTTGAATGGATTCTGAATCCTGACTTTTATTCTTTTTTCGTCTTCAATGGGTTTGTCAACGACGTGTTCAAGTAGGGCATGGATAATATATTCGGATGGTTGTGAAGGTGGAACACTTGCTTTTTTGGGGTTTCGGGGTGGTTTTGATCGGCTTTTGGCTGTGGTTTCGAATTTTTATAATGTGAGGATTTGAAATTTAAATTTTTTAAATTTTATATTTTAAATAAAAATTTGAAAAAAAATTTTTTAAATTTGTTTTTAAAATTAAAAAAAAAGTTTTTGCCCTTTTTAAAAATAACATTTTTTTGTGTTTTCTAGCTTGACTGAATAAGTTTTGTCAAAAATGTTTTTTTTTAAACTGTTTTTAGTAAAATACGTTATCGTGAGCGTCTATAATATTATACTTTGCAGTTGATTTCTGAAAAAAACTCATTTTTACAGCTTTTCTGTTTTGTCTTTGTTTACAAACTGTAATTGATGAAAAACGGATACGGTTAATAGTTTTATCATCGTGTCAGCTTACGGATTCTTTTCACTTTCCGTTAACAGCCGGAACTCAACTTTTGTACGTTTTTTCTTTTTTTTAATGCTGATTATGTTTAAAGACGTCATTGGATTAGATAGAGATTAAGTTTTGAATTATTTTCTAGAGCAAGATAGATATGTGTTACTGAAAATATGATTTACTTTATAAAATTCGTTTTTTATTGAATTTTTATTTTTTGTAAAATACGCACTCAGAACCGACAGACCTAAACTACTGGTAAAGTACATTTAATTTTTCTTATCAGTTTTTACGTAAAAACTGTAAAAAAGTTATCGTTCTGTGCCCGTAATAGAACATGGACCGCGTGGGTGAAAGTCATGAATCTTATTTGCTGTTTTCTGTTCTGTAAAGAAAGTTCTTGTCATTTCATCTCCTGTAAAGAAAGTTATGGCCATTTTTTGGTTTGTGAAGAACGTTCTTGCTAATTTTTGTTTTGTAAAGAAAGTTCTTGCCATTACTTGCTTTTTAAAGAAAGTTCTTGCCATTTCCTGCTTTGTAAAGAAAGTTCTTGCTATTTCTTGGTTTGTAAAGTAAGTTCTTGCCATCTTCCGTTCTGTAAACAAAGTTCTTACCATTTTCAAATCACTAAGAGAAGGCCAAGTCTTTAAACTGTGATAAAAACAATAATCTAATATAGTAAACGTCTATTTATTATTCTTGTAATGAATAAACTTAAAGACAATGGGTGCGGGAAAAGTTTTCAGTTTCCATTGTTTTTAGAGGGGGGGGGGGGACAATAATGGACTCGGGATGAAGGCGCGGTAACACGTCTTTATGTTCAAAATGGACATTTGTTTATTCAAATTTCACTCGGCTGCCAGTTTACTGGTCTTTTTCAAATGGAAAGGGCTAATTTTTGAGGTGGAAAGAAAGTTTTGTCATTTTAACTTTTGGAAATAAAGTTTTTGCTATTATCAACTGTGTAAGGAAAGTTCTTGCTACTTTCTATCCTGTAAAGAAAGTTTTTGCCATTCCTTGTTTTGTAAAGAAAGTTCTTGCAACTTTTTGTCTTGTAAAGAAAGTTCTTGTCCTTTCTTGTATTGTAAAGAAAGTTCTTGTCATTTATTGGCTTGTAAAGAAAATTCTTGCATTTCCTATGCTCTGAAACAATTGTTGACCTGTAGTTCTTGTATTACGACGCGATTCCACTTTAATTATGCCACTTTTCGAACGGCGATTGTTGATGTTTCTTGTCGCAGTTCAAAGAACTCCAAACTACTTTCAATTAACCTCAACTTTCTATCCTACTTTTCTTGGAATTAAAGTTTTGTATTTTTTAATTTTAAGATTATTTTTGAAAATTTTGATTGAAAAAAACTTAAATTTTATGTTTCGCAGGTTGCGTGTGACAAGTTATACAATAAATTACAAATTTTTTGTTTATGTAA